TATTTAGTGAATCAAGAGGTATAACATATTTAAGGCTTTTTACCATGGTGCTAAATTGTTTTCCCTTCAAAAACGGTATGTATTCATAACCCTAACAGTGAGTCAAAATACACATCTTCTGGGAAGCACCGGCAAATCTTCACTTTTATTCTTGCCTTGCATGTAAGGCAAGTGCTTTACCACTGAGTTATATTCCCAAGCCTCAGTACCTTTTATTCAAGGCCTCCTACATTATTAGGCAAGCATTCAACTGCTATGCCAACTACACCCGAAGCTTCAAACATCTTCTTTTCAACAAAAATCCCTCATTTGCTTTTTTTTTTTTTTTTTTTTTTTTTTTTTTTTGCTTATCTAACTTGTATAGTGGGGTATCTTCATTTGAAAATGTATGACCTCAGGGCATCTTCATAAATCAGTGGTCAGATCTTTTTTTTCTTACATGGGCATTTTTATTTCCTTTTCTTCTAGGGTGCTTGTTTCACATTGATCCCAACACCATGTTTTTTGTTCAAATATTTTAAGTGTGCTTAATAGTGTCTTACGGACTGCATGTACTCATGTCTCAGTATTACAAATAAATCTGGCTGGCTTTTCCTTTGCAACCTTTGGCTTTGTTGTGCTCAGGGAAAATGCCAAACAGATGTTAGAAGTGAGTTCTTATATTATTTCTTTGTATGTTTTTAGTTTCCCTCAGATTTACAGCAATATTTTCTCAATGTTCATTACTGATGAGTCTATCCTTTTCTCAATGAGAAATGCTATTTTATAAATATTCATAATTATGTGACTTTTAAAAAAATTATGTGACTCTTGAGGGGCTCTCTTCCCAAGTCCAGGCTGGTCTGGAATTTGCATCAACCCTCCTGCTTTTGCTTTCCAACCACTGAAGTTACAGGCACAAGCCACCACACCCATTTCTAGGTCCTACCAGTGATAATTCTGGTTGTTCTTGTAACAGTGTCATAATGGTTCAATTATTATGGTTTAAGGGCATAAATGTTGTTCTAGAATACTACCTATAAATGGATATAAAAGGTGACTGGTGTGGTATTATTTTAGAAGCAAAATACTGGAGATAACCTTATAGTGTTTGATGAAATGTGATATATTTGTAATATGGAATATCATCTTAGCTAAAGGAATGTCACTGTGAAAGAAACCATGAAAAGAAGTTAGACAGAGCTCTATGAATGGACAAAGACATTCAAAGACAATTTGTTAAATACACAGGTAGTTATAAAATAGTATCTATATCGACACCATAGTTTGTATAAAGAAAATCATAAAACACTCTTATGCATTATCTGTACACATTTTAGACAAGTTTGCAATTAGGTCATCTAGAAGGAAATGAAGAAAGCTGGTAGGGAGAAGTAAGGTTAGTGAGAAAAACCCCAGAGCCATACACATTCCTCACGAATTTGTGATGTGCTCACCCATGGATTTTACATATATTTTCATTTCATTACCACTGCACACTGTATGCTTTATAGGCATACTACTCAGACAGTTCCCAAAGGTCCAAGTCAAGATCCTTTTCCTCTTTGAGGCTTTCCTTATTTCAGAGCTCTCTCTCTGGTCCTTGCTTTGTCAGTCCCTATCGATCCACTTTCAGCCCCCTATCATTCTCTAAATTGCCTCTCCACCAGGGAAGTGCTCTCCGCTGCAACCTAGCTTTCACAAAGGAGAAAAATTAAGGAAATTATAACTCCTTTCCAAATGTAGCTCTGAAGAGACTGGGACACACCCCTTTTCTTTTCACTGCTTCATGCAACCAGACTCCAAATGCAGTTTTGTGTGTATGTGTCACAAACATATGTAGCTAACAATTCCAACAATTTGTTGGCATAAACCTTTCATTAACTGTACACATGGGACCACATATTACATCATTTTTTTTCATTTCTTGGTCTCTGGATAAAATCAGGTATACATCAACTTTCTCATTTGCACCTTGAGACATTCCTTATTCTTAAAAAAAAAAAAAAAATTAAGGAGAAAGGGTCTCATGTGATCCAGGCTAGACTCAAACTCATTATAAAGCTGAGGATGACTGTGAGTTTCTGAACTTCCTGCCTCTACCCCAGGCTTGTGTAGAGCCAGGGAACCAAACCTGGAACTTCATGTATGCTAGGGAAACACTCTACCAACTGAGCCACATTCCCAACCCAAAAGATTATTTTCAGTCTGAACAAAAGAGGAAAATGATATAAAAAATGTTTAGCTGCTGGATATGGTAGATAAAATCAGGGTTCCTGGCAATTTCCTCTAAAGTAAATGTACTTAAAACTCTGATCAGATAATTTCACAATTCAGTTCTAGTAGCTAGTTGCTGCTTCTGGAAAAAGAGAAACCAAAAATATTAATTAAAAAAATTCCAAGAAAATTATACTCACTATTTTACAAGAATGTGTGTGTGTGTGTGTGTGTGTGTGTGTGTGTGTGTGTATAAAATGTTTCACAACTACTAAAGCCAGAAGTATTATTCTAGCAAATACTTTTATGAGGACATTTTGGAACAAAGGAAGTTTTGCTCAGGATTACACAGTAAGTGGAAGAGCCGGCAATCAAATCTGTCAAGTCTGCAATTGCTCTTGAGAAAAATGTTGTACTATTTGAATCTGTGAAACCATCATATAGCACTAATTTTCAGAATTTTTTTAATTAAGAGATCAAGATTACACAGGCTTATATTGTTTACCTAATGTGCATCCTTCCTCTTTCAGAATTTAGAATACTCTCTCAGATGGGAGCTTATTAATCTTCAAAATATTCCTAGACAGTTAGGAAGGTTGTATGCTAGCTATTATCTTGTCTGTGAACTGAGGCCAGAAGGAAGGCACTTACCCTGTATTCTGCAAACAGGAATGGTTCTGCAACCAGGGTCAGAGCTCCTGATCCTTATTGTATAGCAAACTTAGCTTTTCTGATGGTGACCTAGAAGGTCAAACAAAGAGATGGAAAAAGACAGAAAAAGAGATGAGATGGTGATTTTCTTTTCCATCAGTCAATGCAATTTTATCTCACACAAAGGACATCAAAGCTGATAATGTATAATTTTTATTTTCCTGTGGTTATATTTTCAGATGTGCTTTATTTGTTTGTTTATCAATTTTTGAAAAAAAATGATTATTTTCCCCTAAACATAATGTAAAACAAACAAAACTATAAAGGAACACCATTACAAACCGATGCGAATCCATCATCCAGCTCCAACAATTACCAACTGAAGGCCATCTTGTTTCATCTGTAACCCCACCCACTGCTCCCCCCCCCACTTTTTTTAAGCTACCGAGAAAAAAATGACTTAAAAATTATGAAAATTTTCAAATATATACCAAGAGAAAAAAATGAATACAGGAAACCCCATCTGCCTACCTCTCAGCTTAAAACAATTATTAATCTAGGGTCTCAATTATACCCCTCCCATCTTTCTCTACCGCTGAAATTATTCTGAAGCAAATCCTAGTCATCCACGTATTTTGAAGCCATTTTCAGACATTATTTAATCCCTCAGCAAATATATAACTATATAAATACATATTTCCACAAAATAAAGCAATCTGAAAACATAACCACATTGCTACCATAAACGCCTAAAAAAATCTGACACAATTTCATTAAAGAATAATAATTCCGCATTTAAAAATTCCCGATGCGTCTTAAAGAAAATTTTACAATTGGTGTGCTCGAATCTGGATTCAAACAAGGCCTACTCATCGCATGTGCTTCATATCTAGCTTGCTCTCATTCTCCTTCCTCTACCTTTCTTTTTTTGATTTTAATGTGGGAAAATTCCAACCCCCAGCTATTCTGAAGCAATTCTCGGCTAGCAAATTATTTTATCGGTAAGGCTTAATATACGCCTATTATCACAATTTCGTCTAGAAAAGAGGATTATGTTCAGAAAAAATACTATATCGAGCGAATCTGCGTAATTTTTAATTTTCTCCGGCTACGCAAATTATCTATCTTTAATAACAATTGCTAATATTTTTCAGAGACAGGCTTCACATTGAATACTTTACACGCACTATTTTATTGTGGACATTTGAGTCCACGTCTCTGAGATGGATACTATTATCACCGTTTTACAAACATGGAAACCAAGACACAGAAAGGAGCCTTGCCCGAGTTGGGCGTTGGCGAGCAGGAATATGAATCCAGCTTTGCCTGAATGTGAAGCCACTAGCTAATCCTGTTTATAGACACGAAGAAAAAAGGAAATCATCGACCCTTCCTCCCCACCCCCACCCCGAAACCTGAAACGAGAATCCAGTTCTTTCCAGCAGCCGACGTGTGATCACTGCTGCTCCTCCAACCGCCATAGTAAAGCCAGGTTTCTCTGGCAACTGATATCCATAGGCAGACACGTCACCCTGGGGGCGGGCTTAGCCTTTCAGCCAATCGTAGTCGTCTTGTCTCAGTTTTAGAATGTTCCATAACCAAATGATTGGACCACCGCCCTCACGTCAGCAGTGACACTCCGCCGCAGTAAAGGCGGGTGCTAGGAACCTGCTTCTTCATGGTTAGGGCCGAAATCAAACCAATTACCGTCCTTCTTCAGTGCGGATTCCGACCAATGACAGTCGCCCTTTTAGGCTCTTGGCCCGCCCTCCAAATGCGCTACAGCCGTTGGGTCATAAGTCTATAGGGCAGCGTGTTCACGTGGCCTATTTTCACGACCCAGAGTTCCTCTGACCGTGGGTTTTTTTTTTTTTTTTTTTTTTTGCCCCCACCTCCTTTCCCTGGCTCACCCTTTTTCTCCTGCAGGGAGGCATTATGGGTTTGTGGGTCCGTTCTCCTCCCCCGCCCCCGCACCACTGGGAAAGGAAGTGTCTACGTGGCTTGCGGAAATAGGATAGGCGGAAATGAGCTAAGGTTCCCGCGAGTGGGAAGAGCGAGGTCAAACCTAGGGCCACGCCCCCCGAGCCTGTTGCGCAACTCTCGGAACGGGAGAAAAAAAAAGGAATAACGAAGGTTTTGCCGTGTGTGTGTGTGTGTGTGTGTGTGTGTGTGTGTGTGTGTGTGTGTGTGTGTGTGTGTGTGTGTGTGTGTGTGTGTGTGTGTGTGAGGGTGGTGAGTGCCACGGGCGGATGGCGTGAGAACAAGGGTGCATGTGCGCGGGCACGCTCGCGTGGCCGTGGAGTGTGGGTGTGGGCGCACACCAGCCCTCGTGGCGCCGGAGGTGATGGGTGTGCGCACGCGTGCACTCCTTGCGGTGGCGGGAGGGGCCCTGACTGTGTGTGTAGGTGAGATGCTTTATATTGGTGGATTGCTGCTTTTTTATGTTTGCAAACTGCTTTATGGAAAGATAAATAATTACGGCAAAGTACTAGTAACAGAAGTAAGTAAAGGGCTTTTGTTAGAAAAGGCCTGCTGATTTAATTTATTTATTTTCCTTTTTTTTTTTTTTTTTTGTTTGAGACCTGGTCTCGCTATGTAACCCTTGGATGGCCTGGAGCTCATAGAGATTCCCCTGTCTCTTCTCTTCCTCCCGAGTACTGAGATTAAAGGCATGTGCCACTCCACCCAGTCTGATTTAATTTTAGGCCGTATAGATGCGCATTTTAATCCACCAAAATAAAGCCAAAGCTATATTAGTAACTTAAAAGAGCGCTTCTTTAAAGTTTTCAAGTATATTCCCCTCCTCTCCATCACTGAGACCTTTCCTTTGCCCCTTACCAATTTTACTGCATAATGGCAGAAATAATTTCTAATGAGAACGTACGGAATTAAATTCCCCTATGATAGAGACCCCTCCAAATTTTTGTGGACTTTTAAGCCTCATCTACCTTTTGTCCTAGTCTCCAAGCATAGTGATCCTTAGGCAAATAGGCATTTGGTCAATTTTCCAGAAAGTTCACTGGGTGAGGTTTATACCTCTTGAATCTGCCACTAGATGTCACCAAATCCCAGCAAAGGATTTGCTGTTAGGTTCCCCGGGATTGTGAGATTTATTTATTTATTGCTCCACCTACTTCTAATTTGATGAACTCAATCATCTCTGGCTGTCTCATATATATCTTAAATTCCCAAATAAGAATAAAATCAAGTTCTGTAAAATAACAACACTAGGCAGGGAATTATATATCCAAATATTTTTGTTATTTTCTTTCCTTAAAAAGAAAAAAAGTCATATGCTCTTCCAGATTTTCTTTCTCCCTTGTATTCTTTTTTACTCAGCGTTAATAAATGAGCCTAAATGCTGTTGCTAAAATCCTGTGTGGGCTGTGGTGGCGCATCTGCAATATCAGCACTCAGTAGGTAGAAAGACCCCAAGTTGAAGACCAATTTTCAAGATATGTCTCTACATAAAAAAAGAAAGACTATCCTTTCTGCTTTTTTGCCCACTTTATTTTCAAAAACTTACAATTCCTCCAAATGGTAATTGCAGATGACTATAGTCAGTCTGTAAAGTTAACTCGGAGGTAAAGTTAGACCTCAGTATTTAAAATTATCGTCCTTTCCTCTTGAAATTTTTAGCAGATATGTGTGTTTGCATCTTAATTTTATGTGATGTTTCTGTGTTGCGAGCAATAAGGTAGGTATGTATAGTTAGTATAAAAAGTTATATTTTATTATGCGGAGGGTCTTCATACAAAGTTCACACTCTTAAGTTCCTGACTACAGTCCTAAGCTTATCCCCCCCAAGGTGGCTTACCTGTTTGAAGATCCGGTCCAGTCTTAGGATCCCAGGGTAGACTCTCCAGCCGCAGGGTAGATCAAGGTGGCTTCCCTCCAGGTGCAAAGAGGAAGAGCAGTGCTCTGGGTCCCTGCTTATATACTGGCCAGAGGGCGTCATGGGGTCTAGGACTGTGTCTGGTTATCTTGAGTGATGTCACTGGGTTCTGGTTATCAGATCTAGCCTTGGGTGTAGTGCAGTTCCTGACTAAGCTGTTTTTACAAGTCTAAAAGGCATTTTTAAAAAATGCTCATTGCATTTTACATAACTTGATTGTGTCTTTAGAGTCAGATAGTAAATAGTGGAACATTTCACACTTACTTGCCCTATGTTTCAGGGCAAATGATGATGTGGCCCTGAGATTTTTTTTTAAATTTCTGTGTGTTTGCATATGTGTGCAGGGGTGCTTGCCTGTGCATGTGCATGTTGGGGCTAAAGGTTAGCTTCATTTTGTGTCTCTTCCTCTATTTCTGTCCACCTTATATTTTGAGGTAGGGTCTCTCAGTGAACTTGGAGTAGTCTATGTGGGCTATACTGGCTTGTCAGTGAGCTCCCAGGATTTGCCTGTCTCCACCAATAGTTCCCTTAAAACACTGGTGTTACAGATGTGTGCCCCATGTTCAGCTTTTCTGTAGGTTCTAGGGAACTGAACTCAGGTCCTCATGCTTGAGCAGCAGACACTTTACCCCCTGAGACATCTCCCCAGCCAGACCCTCATTTTTTTTAATGTTTTCTATATTTTGGATGTTGTATTAAATACTTTTTTCTTAACAAAATTGTGCACCATAATCAACCAACAAATATCTGTTCCAGTTATCAATGATATGTACTTGTGCACATGTGGGTGAAGGTTTTTTTTGGATTTTAATTTTATTGTTTTTAATTATGTGTAGGTGTATATATCTGCATTTGGGTATATGACGTGAGTTCAGAGGTCAGAGGCATTGGATCCCCTGGAGCTGGAATTATAGACTCTTCTCAGACACCTGACATGGATGCTGGGAACCTAACTCGGGTCCTCCGGAAGAGCAGCAAGTGGTCTTAATTGCTGGGCCATCTCTCCAGCCACAATGGTGAAAGGTTTTTAGAACAGTTCAACTGTATTTCCTAGGCAAACCAGAAGCATCATTATCACCTGGTAAGTTACCAGAAAATTAGATTCTTAGGCACCACCTCCAATCTCATAAATCAAAAGTTCTCTGGATGGAGTTTGGCAATCTATGCCACTACAAATTGTGGTAGTGAATCCAAGGCTCTCAAAAATTAAAGAACCACTGCTTTGGAGGGCAAAAAATGCAACACTTGTTTGTACACCACTAGAGGGTGCCATAGAATGTAAAGCAAAATAAAAAGGACATACGTGTTCTGAGATACCATACATGTAGAGTATCAGTCTTATTTTGCAGATTAAGGAATGTGTAGAAGTGTTACCATAACTGTTTATATTTTTCAGAGTCTGAAATAATCTTTACATTATAGATTGTTCTCTGCTTTGACTAATGTTGACTGAACCGAAGTTAGTAGGAAAGCAAACCAAGTATGTGGAAATAGCTTGAGGATTTTCATTCCTTTCCTCCATTCCCTTCTATAATATGGTATAACACAAAAGCTTAGGAATGGCCTCCTTGTTATTTCTTATTTCTCAATGCTCTTTCTAGTCTGTAGTTATCTGTTTTAGCTTGTGTCATAATATTTTATGTACAATAAAGGCCTGAGGGTGGTGAGTAAAACAGAGATTTGAAAAGCCATTATGGGTCACACACTTTATTGCTTTATACACATAACTCCCAATAATAAGCTTATAACTTAGGTGAAACTTAACGTCATTTTATAGTGATGAAGCTGAGTTCTGGTGTAAAGTTAATTTCATTCATCATATAATTTACAAGTGATAAAATCTGAATAATTCCTGGCATTTATAATTCTAGTATTCAATTAAGCTTTCTAGTTCTCTGGTTTAGTTTCTATTTAAATGGTTTTTCTTCTTTTTTATTTGTGAGACATTGATACTTTTTGACCCAAGAGAAAATGTAGAGAAGTCTCTCTCTCTCATATTTTGGCCAGGTTTTATCTGACACCAGATATGCACTCTCCAGGACCCCTCCTCTCAGCCACTCCAATGGAATGGCAGGGTTGTGGCTCATCCAAGCACTTTTAGAAACGATTCAAGGAATTTGACACTGAGTGAGGCTGACCAGGTATTATGGCACACCACATTGTGGTGCTTTGTAAAGTAACAGTGTGTTCAAGACTAGAAGTGTTTTCAGATTTAAAAGTTATTCAAATTTAAGGGATTTTATTTTATAAGTTTTATAAACTTGAGTGTCATACCACGTATTAGATAGAAACAAACATTTTATTTTCATGATCTTAGAGCCACCCTATATAATATAGTATCCAACTAGCATATGTGACTGTTTAAGTCACAATTCATTAGACTAAAAAAAATTGATTCAGTTGGTAGTTCTGGCTATATTTCAAAGGTCACTACATATTGTTAGCTGTTGTCTACATTTAGATACAGATCATTTCCGCCGTGACAGAATGTTCTGCTGGACAGTGCTGATTTAGATGATAGACGGTATGGGAAAGGGCCCAAAAGGTGACTTATTTTCTCTGCTCTTCTCAGAGCAAAGGTGCTCCATTTTATTGATAGGGTCAGGAGAGGGAGGTAAGGTCCGAGGTACTTTAGCAGGGGTATGTCTGGCACTGGAATCTCTATTTCCGACTGCTGCTACACTTTTCTAATAGGCCTGTCCTTGTGCTTTACTGGGTAGGCTTGCAAGAGCAAGACCAGGAAGAATGTGGACTAGTTTTAGAATGAGAGTAGGAACAAAAAAAAATGGCCTAGAAACAATGTTTTCTGTATTCCAGGTAGCACAGGACTCAGCTCTTTCCATCTGTTATCTTAGCAAATCCTCACAGAAGCCCAGAGAAGTTAAACAGTCACCTAAAGTTGCTCAACCAGTAAATTGCAGAGCAAGACCAGACTTGTTCCTGGCTTTAAAGCCATGCTTTTTCCTGTTATGCTATGTTGCCCCCTCAATGTGACTATTCCCCTGCAACCTTAACTTATTAGTGGGAGAAGGCCTCAAGTAGATTCCTCACGTATAGTCAGTTCTCAGAAAATGAGAAACATGCTTTAGAGTTTACAGCTGCACTGTTGTCTTCACATGATTTCAACTGGAAGAGAAAGATAACTTAATTGTATTTGGTTCCAAGGCCCAAGGCCAGACAGAAACTTTTTAAGGTCTCATCCCTCACAGGATGTTCAGTGGCTCTATGAACCCTGTATTAATTTGCAAGACCACCATTAGCTCATACAATGCCTTTGTGGTAATCAGAATCATAGGCCACCTAAGGGCAGACAAATTGCAGAGATATGTGCACTCCAGTGGAACAATGAGAAAAATGCCCCTTTCCTTGCCCCTGCTGACTGCTGCAACCTCACCAAGGCAGTTAGTTGAAAAAGACATTTCAGCCAGGAATTGTGTTCTCTTAGTTGAGTACCATTGTGTAGCATGTAACCTGCCTGTCAGTATATGTAGTCCTTACCTGCCTTCCCTTATGAATAACAAAACTGTCCTTGGTCCAAAAGGTAGTGCTCAGTACTGGTCAGACTGTTCTACTGTCTATCCCCAGAGTCCTCCCATGTCTTACGGGTAGTAAGCAAAATTGCTCTAGCCTAAGTTTTATTTGATATCGTATATAATTTTAATTTTTCTTGTGTGGGTGCTTCATCTACATGCATGTGTGTGCACTGTGTATGTGCCTGGTGCACATGGAGGCCAGAAGAGGGCATTGGATCCCCTGAGACTGGTAGTACATACAGTTGTGAGACAGTGTGTGAGTGCTCCAGCCCTAAATCAGAACCACACTTTAAAAATATCAAGTAGGCCGGGCGGTGGTGGCTCATGCCTTTAATCCCAGCACTCGGGAGGCAGAGCCAGGTGGATCTCTGTGAGTTCGAGGCCAGCCTGGGCTACCAAGTGAGTTCCAGGAGAGGTGCAAAGCTACACAGAGAAACCCTGTCTCGAAAAACCAAAAAAAAAAAAAAAAAAAAAAAAATCAAGTAGAAGCTGGAGAAATGGCTTAGCATTTAAGAGTACTCACTGCTCTTGCACAAGACTAGGGTTCAATTCCCAGCACTCATGGTGGCTCAGAACCATCTGTAACTCCAGTTCCAGGGCACTTGACACCTTTTTCTGACCCCTGTGGACACCAGGTACACATGTGGTGTACATACATATATGCAGGCAAAACACTCATGCATATACGATTGAATAAATAAATCTAAAAAAAAGTGTTTAAAATTGGTTCTGATTATCTTATTTAGTATTTCTTAAAATAATCATTGTTTAATGTACAAGGTTAAAAACAAATCTTAATATTTCTCGAACTCTATGAGTTCAAGGCCAGCCTGGTCTACAGAGTGAGATCCAGGACAGGCACCAGAACTACACAGAGAAACCCTGTCTGGAAAAAACAAAAGAAAAAGTATAAGTTCCACTCAATGTCTTGGTTAATAAGAACTCTTCTGAAGTGAAACCCATGTGTGTACTCTAATCCATGACTGATGAAGCACGTTTTAATTTTTTTCTTCTTTAAAGAACTATTTTATTAAAGAAACATTCAGCACTACACAAAAGTGGGGAAACAGTACAAGCAACCCTCTGTCTACCATTAAACAATTTAGATATGTACTTTCAAGTACTACTGGCTTGTCCTTTTAAACATAGCAGTTAATAGCTTCAGAAGCCATAACTTCTATCACTTCTAGTAAAGTGTAGATGCTAGGTGGGAATTACAAACCTAAGAAACTTAGCTGGAGAAAAATGATTCAAAGCAACCACTTGATGCAAAGTTCGAACTACAGGCATCAACAATCACTGGCGAAAAGCAGTCTTTATCTTTCTGAGTTAATGTATACCATGGGTGGCTTTAAGTAATCCTTCCAAGTAAAGTGTGTGCTGACAAAACCATGAATTTTGGCATGCTTTAAGTTAAACTATTAACTCAGGAAGAGAAAAACAAGGAATCATGTGCAAGCCTGGCATCTGAAGGTCATCAAAGGTCATCGCTGACTGGGTTCAATTCTCAAAGGTTTGGCCGTTTGAAATAAGCTTTTCTACGTCAAGTGGAGCCATGAGGGGGTAGTTTAATTACGGAAGAGAAAACAGATATCACTAAAAGGACAACTTTTTCCCCTTGACTATTTCCATTTGCTTTGCCATGGGCTAACAAACTAGACTGATCCAAAGAAATGTGCGGGACTGGCTTTATGAAATTCCTGTGGAATGAGGCGGTATAAATAGACAGAAAGAAAGACATCCTTATTATAGAAATGCAATTTTGCTTGGCCTTGAAATATTAGGATTTGGGTTTTTTGTTTGTTTTTTTGTTTTGTTTTTTTGAGACAGGGTTTCTCTGTGTAGTTTCGGTGCCTTTCCTGTAACTCACTCTGTAGATCAGGCTGGCCTCGAACTCACAGAGATCCGCCTGGCTCTGCCTCCCCAGTGCTGAGATTAAAGGCGTGCACTATTGCTGCCCGGTCAGAACTTATACTCTTTAGTAGGGTTGGACCATGTCATATTTAGGGAGAGAGTCAAATTGAAAAACCAAAACAAACCTCTTTACTAGAAATTGATAAGGTCTCCTCAAAGGACAGTCTCTTCCTACCTCTTCCCCTCCACCAGGCACCACAAGAAGCCTTGCTGAAATGAACTACTGTAAGTGGCGTCTTACAATCCCTCAGGCAATTAGGACCAGAGAGAGGTTGAAAACCACAGAACGAACCTTCTGCTCGTTCATGAAACTGTTAGCTAGAAGGCAGAAAAACACAGGCAAATGGAAGCTAGGGTTCTGCAAGAGAGAGCTAAGGGTGGTGTGTTAGAGCTTTGCACTCACCCTCGATGAGTGCTGCAGAAGGCAAGGCTGCTACAGAGACAGGAGACCAGATTGTGGAATATGTGGCAGAGGACGTCAGAGCTATTTTTAGAAGATGCCTTTTCCTACCTTATTTACAGTTTGGAAGAGCAGGAAGACCATCTGAGAGTGAAGTATGTGAGCGCGCCCGTGTGTGTGAAAGTGCAGACGTTTAGAGAAAAGGTGTCTTACCGCCCTGCTTAGAATGGCAGGTTCTACAAACCACACACCGAAACAGTGGTTCTGATCCATTTGCGGCAGTGTTTTACCACATGGAGGAGCAAATGAGGCTGCTTACACAGTACTGGGACAGAGCAGAGAAGGCTTAGGGTACGGGGCCTCAGAGGACATGTTCCTTCAACGCCCTGAGCTTGAGGTAAAAGGATTAGTAACTGAGGACAGAGAAAAGAGTAAGAGCAGTTCCTAAAAGGTACAAAGCTGAGATACACCCAGTTGCTCCCAGCCTAGAGTTGTGGGTGGGACGTCAGTGGGTCCCAGGACAGTACAGCCAGCTTTCAATAAAGCTGGTCTGTGAAACTTGGCTAAGAGGACAGAGGAAAATTGATGTTTGCTCCAGAGTGGGGCTGTCAGCTGTGCTCACCGCCTCACCAGGCTCCCAGCTGTAAACAAAGGTCCTGGCCCTTCATGGCACTGCAGAGCAGTCCAGGCTGGCGTAAGTCTCTGAGGACAGCTAGACCATTTTCTCATCCTGGCTGACAACCAGGAGACAGAAGAAACAATAAAAGGTAGAGTGGGGGAAGGGGCAAAATTGCAAGGGAGTGCGGAGCAGAGACCATTGGAGGGAGTTGTGTATTTCAGATCTTAGGGCTTTGGATGAAAGTGGTAGAAGTATTTTAGGGAAAGCAGACCCCTTTCCTTATGTAAATATCCCAGGTAATAGTGAATTACAAAGGGGGCTTCAGAGACTCCAGTGTACCATCCACTCCTCCATTTACAAACGTCCATGCTCATGACCATGCTAGCTCTTCTGGGTGATGCTAAAGTACTAGAGGGTAGCTTACACATTCCAGGGTCTAATAAGGAGTTTAGGAATATGTGTGACAGTGAGTCTTAACCATACCAAATAGACTTTTTGTTTGTTTATTTGTTTGTTTGCTTTTGAGACAAGGTCTCATGTAGCACAGGCTACCTTTGAACTTGCTTTGTAGCCAAGGATGGCCTTGAATTCTTGAATGACCCTGCTGCCTCCCCCTCCACAGTGCTGGGATTACAGGCACATAATACTATGCTCAGCAAATAATAGACCTCTTAAAATATTAAGTGACAAACCTGGAATAAAGTATCGAAGCAATGTAACTGGGTCTGGATCACAGAAGGTGGGATTTGAGGGAACTGTAGTAAGCTAGACATGCTGTGCCTATGACAAAAAGGCATCTAGAATTTGAGGCAGAACAAAATTAGTAGTACAATTGAGCCCTGCTTTGACTGAAGCAGTAGGTTAGTGTGCCACAGACTCTTCATTTCTTTCCTCCTTACGCTCCTCATCGTGGCTAATCCAGTATCCAAGTCTCCCTTTCAGTGTTACTTCCTCACAGTGTTCCAACCTTCTCTCCAGGACCAAGTGCAGTGCCTTGTTTTATGTTCCTGTCGCACCCACTGCTTTTGCCTTTCCAAGATACGGCCGTTTTCACTTGATGGACCAAGCCTGTTTGTCTATAGTATACAAGTCGGGAAGGCTTATTTGATTCTTTTTCCTCCTCCTCTTTGCAAAATTCAAATCTGATTTTTCACTTGCCCTATTAAAACTGCCGTGTTCCTGCTCAGCTCTGGAGGGAGAGGCAGGCAGATCTCTGTGATTTCCACTCCAACATGGTCTACATAGTGAGTTCCAGGACAGCCAGAGCTATAGAGAAACCCTGTCTCAAAACAGACAAACAACAACAACAACAATAAAACCCCATCCTACTCCTGACATCTTTGTTTTTTTTAATGCTTCTGTTCCTTTCTCTTCATTCAGGTCATAAGTCTCTGTCCTAGGAAAGACTTCTAGGACATACTCTTTCCATCACAGAAACATTGTCCATAATACTTACATAGTTTCTCCATTTTTCTACTTCCTAACAACTTAATCAAATTTTATCTCTCTTGCCATACTGTAGGACCTCTGAGGGCAGGGCTGTTTTTCTTCACTGTGTATTTTGTGTACTTAGTATATAGTACCTGGCATGTGATGGAAAGTACTCCATGAACATTTGCAAATGAATCCAAAGCAAATGACATAATATTGGTAGGTGAAAGCCAGTCTAAAGGTTGATTATATTCCTATGCATGAAGAAAAATCTTTAGAAGTTTTCAACTATAAGAGGAGAGAATTATTTTAAAATTACCTTTTTGCCAGGTAGTGGTGGTGCACACCTTTAATCCCAGCATTCAGGAGGCAGAGGCAGCCAGATCTCTGTGAATTCGAGGCTAGCCTGGTCTACAGAGCAAGTTCCAGGACAACCAAGGCTACACAGAGAAACCCTTTTTCAAAAATAAGTAAGTAAATAAATTGCCCGTTTTGTTTTAATGCTAGAAATGGAATTCTTTTATATGTTAAGCAAGTACTCGGCTACATTTCTTGCCCTTGAAGACCACTGACCTCTGTAAAAATAACATAGAGAATGCAGGTCTTAGCCCACTCCTGATTCTTGCCTTCTCATTGTCTTATGGTTTCATGTTCTCTACCTCTCTGTTATTCCCATGTCCTTCATCTCCACAAGCATAAAATTTACATATCAGTCCTCCTAAACAAAAAATTGGCAGTATGACCAGACACTCACATTTCTACAGGTGCAGTTGCTCATTCAGCTGCTGTTTATTGCCTACCTTCATTGTACCAAGCATGGTACTGATATCTATAGATGAAAACCTTCTGTCTGTCTTAATGAAGCTCCTAATTGCATGAATACATTACACTGGTCACTCAGTGGTAGCTTTAAATTCCCGGTGAAGGGATTTGCCTTACCTGGGCTCAGTGAGGGAGACTTTGTAATACTGGAGCCTGCACAGTAATTCAGTCTCATAAGTAGACCTTCTGTGTAACTGGGGACCCAGAGATTGGATGCTTATGTCAGTTTACACCAAACTTTCCTCCTTCCCTGTAGATCCAAAATGGCATAGTAGAGGATGTCTAGAAGGGCATTCAAGTGGTAGCCATTCCTTATCATTTTCAGAGTGGTCTTTCTTATTAAGGCAAATGGTCCAGCAAGTTTCAGCTCTTAAATCAAGCACAGTAGAGGAACTTACGGGAAAAGGGCTTGGGTTTAGCAATAGACTAGAGGATCTCCCCTATACTCCAAGTGGGTCCAAAGCAAGAGCATAGCTTTAAAATAGCTTCTGAGGACAATTAGACAGCCTCACGTTGGGGTAGATATTAATGCCGGGGTATTGGCTTGTTTTCATCTTTGACTCAGGTCCCAAGTGGTTAGGAGGCTAATAAATGAGGATGTCAGTGGAGCAATACATACCTATCACTGTTCACACCACACCACAGTGTCTTGTAATTCTAGCACCTGGCACAACAGGAGAATCTTCTGTAATCATTCAGTCTTGTCTCTTCATCAAATATAAGGTTATTGAGGGACTGACTGACAGCTCAGACCCTTGTTTTTAAGTTCCCCCACCCCAAAGATGAATAAAAAGAAAAGGCAAGTATCTAAACTCCTAACTAGTTATCACTTGGTTGGAGAATAACATCAGACAGTGACATTTGGAAGACATATTTGTTAGTTTTGACCCCCTCTCTTTCTTTTACTTGGCTCCTGTTCCCTGAAAATGACTCCGCCAAGATATTTTGAAGACAGTGTGTATGTAACAGGGAGAGGTGGAAGAGCTTAAGTCTGATTAATTGCTCTTTGCTCTGAGGTCTCTTGTGGGTCAAGAAAGTTCATCCTGAGTCTCAGGCCCATCAATTGGCGATAACAGATTAGGTTCCTATCACGGGGAAAGCTAAATGAAAAATAAAGCTAATGGGTCCCTAAACTCATGCAGAACCTCTGGTGAAGGAAACTCTACATTTCTACAAGTAGAACTCAGCATCATCGTTTTACACCCGTAAATTGTCCTAGCTCAACCCAAAGTCTGTGTTCTCTTCTTTCTACAGGAACCGTGACTTTCATACATATCAGGCAAAAGATGAGGAAGGCAGGGGTTGAGGACTGAGTGGTTACGATCCGCCACCACCACAAATTACCATTAGCATCAATCTGTTGCACACTAAGCCAGAGCAGTCCCAAAATGAATGTGTGTAGCTAAGAAGTGACATTTTGTTAGGGGACAAAGGAAACTTAAAACAAGGGCCTGAGCTGTCAGGCAGTCCCTCAGTAACCTTATATTTGATGAAGAGACAAGACTGAATGATTAGAGAAGATTCTCCTGTTGTGCCAGGTGCTAGAATTATAAGACATTGTGGTCTGTTGACTGTGGTGTCTTATGGGAAAGCCTATGAGATAGTAGTTTTCCAAAAGGGTCAAATATTTGTGACTCTGTGAAAACGATATAAGCATTAAATGCACTCAAGATAACAGATGGGTATCTGTGACCAAGGTCTGAAACATTCTTGCTCTTCTTAATGGTTTCAGTTGTGTAGCGGACAGTGATTCTCCTGTCTGAAGTGGTTCAAATATTGTGAGAAACTGGACAGGCAGTGGTGGTGCACACCTGTAATCCCAGCCCTCAGGAGTCAGAGGCAGACGAATCTCTGAGTTGGAGGCTAGCTTGGTCTACAGAGCAAGTTCCAGGATGGCCAAGACTACACAGAGAAACCGTGTCTCGAAAGAACAACAACAAAAGTATTGTGAGAAACTGAGGACTGATATGGCAGAGATCAGCCAGTAGACATTGTTAGTAGGTGTAGAGGGAAGTACATTAACACGTAATTTTGGGCTTCTGTAGGTTGATCAGTTGAAAAGGGAATTACAGTAAGAAAGATGCCTAAGGATTAGAGGTTTTTGTCCCAGCTGTTTTTTCACTTTAGTCTATTTGCTCCTGTGATGATTAATCTTCAGTGTCAACTTGGCTGGATTTGGATCACCTAGGAAATCACTGAGGGCACATCTGGGTGTACTTCTGTGAAGGCATTTCCAGGGAGAATTAACTTCAGGGAAGACCTACTCTTAATTGGGATGGTACTATCCCCTAGGCCAGGGTCCCAGACTGACTAAAAGGGGGGAAGAGAAGAAAACCAGCAGAGCCTCAACAGTCCCCTCTCTGCTTCCTGTGTGCCATCCAGTGAACAGCTCCCATTCTAGTCAGCGATGATGTGGTTGCTCTCACTCTTACGCCCATGATGCTTTACCTGGGCACATGGGGTTAGGAGACTGTGGACTGAAGCCACTGAAACTGTGAGCCAAAATATATCTTTCCTTCCTTCCTTAAGTTGTTTATGTCAGAGATTTTGGTCATGGAATTAACAAGCCAGTTAATATACCCCCAAACAAAGCTTTCGTATATCAGCCAAATAATGTAGCTGGAGCACCCTTTAACATTAAATGGCTTATATCTGAAAGTCATAAACAATACAGTTTTGATTTTCACAAGTTTTAAAGCAACAGTAAAAGCAGTAAACCATCTCCTCACCTCCACCAAACAAAATGCTGTAGTAAAGCAGTTATATAAGCTAAAAGTAGAGTTGTTCTGATTGAATATGTGTATGTGTGAATGTGGGGGGTGTCTGCTTTTTCTTTGCATAAGACCTTGGGGCCTGTTGAAGATGATTTGAAAATCTCTTGCCCAGTTGATAAGGCAATGTACCGGGAAAGAGGAAACTTGAGTTTTGCTTCTGTTGTGAGACTAGAGTAAACTACTTCCATTTTTTGAGTCTTCTGCCCTCACTTCTTGCTTAGATACATGGTTATCTTACCTCAAAGGTTTGCTTTCAGGATGAAATGCTACTGAAATGTTTGTACCCCTCCCAAAAAACAACACGTGCAAGAATGCGGGGCACTTGAATAATATGACCCTTTTCAGGGAAAGTATAGTTGGAAAGAACTAGCATTGCAATTCAGTGGTTAAAAAAATTTCAAGGAGCTACAGTGTTTAGTACTTAAAAAATTATATAGCAAACACTAATTCATTTTATGTAATGGATTTGGTATGGATCATACAATGATAAATACATTTTGATTCCGAGTTTCAAATGCAAATTTCTGTGTGAGAGGCACAGGCAAAACAGCATATATAATCTTACAACTGCATATATAGAGCTATGTATAGAGCATTATTGGTGAGTCTAAATCTATCTGCATGTCGGGCTTGAGAGTACTTCACAGAAAACATGATTTCTGGCTGAGGCTTGACAGATTAAAACAAGTCCCTGAGGTGGCACAAGTCAAGGCAAGTGTTTGAACACTAGGGAATCGCATGTGCAAAAGCATGACTTGTGAGGCAGGATCTGTTGTCTGTGGCTGGGTTCACCATGATTAAACGGAGAATACATTTTGGAGACAGGAGTGGTAGAAGAGAGGAGAAGAACTGGTGGGGACCAGAGGGAGAATCCGGTATAGGCCATTTGTGGAACGTGGACTTTTCCCTGAGGTGTGGAGGAAGCGGTTGATGGATTGAAACCTCGGATGTATGAGAAAGAGACTGTTTATGAGACAGTTGACAATAGTGGGGGAGGTAGGAAAGCCTTAGACTCGGTGGCTGAAGAAACTAAAGTCAGGGAGGATGGGGACGGGGGGACTATTGGAAGAGTGGAGTGTTCGGTAGGATTTGGTGATTGATGGGTTTGAGGGCTGTGAAAGAAAGTGTTAGAGATATTTGACTCCAAAGTGTCTGGCATGAGTGACTGAGTAGGTAGAAGTCCCCCTTGTCAGGGTTGGGAGGATTGGACAAGAAGTAAAGCAAAGTTGGAAGAAGATTGTGAGTTCTTCAGTTCTGGGAAGGTTGACTTGGGGATATTTGTGCAATGGAGTTAGTAATTAAGAACCATTAAGCATATTGTTTGTCCTAGCCATGGAAATGGTTGTAAACACCAGAGCTTTAGTATGCAGTGAAGGGCTGTGAACTCAGGAAGGAATTGAATGTCTGAAGAATAAGAACACAGGGGGCTGGGGAGATGGCTCAATATGGAATACCACTTGCTACATGCATAGGAGGACCTGAGTTAAAAATCCCCAACAACCGTGTTAAAAATCCAAGAAGGAGCTAAGTGGTGGTGGCACACGCCTTTAATTCCACCACTTGGGAGGCAAAGCAGGCCGATCTCTGTGAGTTTGAGGCTTGCCTGGTATACAGAGCAAGTTCCAGGCCAGCCAGTATTACTCAGAGTAACCCTGTGTCGAAAAACAAAACAAAACAAACAAATCCAAGAATGGCTGGCTATAAATGCCTGTAAGCCCAGCATTTGTGGGCCTGAGACAGGCAGATCTTGGGAGCTGCAGGGCAGCCTGCCTAGCCAAAACAGTGGGCTCTCAGTTCAGCGAGAGACCTGGTGCCAAGGAAATAAGGCAGAGAGTGATAAAGGAAGACACTTGGTGTCCCCTGACTTCTGCACGCACTCATATAGGTGCACACACCTGAATAGTCATGAATATGCACTACACACACACACACACACACACACACACACACACACACACACACACACACACACACAACTAAAAAATGGTCAGAGAAGCAAGAGAAGAAATTGGAGAATGAGAGCCATGGGAGAAAAGATGTGGCAAAGCGGATGTGGCCGCTCTGACAAATGTTAGGGTGAAGCATGACAGATTAGAAAAGTTTTGACTTAATACAGCAGTTATGAAGGTAGTCTAAGGAATATGGAAAGAACATTTAAAGAATGAGTAGGAGGAAGAAGCAAGAGATTACAACGTAATAAGGGGTGATTGGTGAGGTGGGGATGTGGGAATCATAGTAAAGGCATTCATTTTAAGGAACTTAATGGTAACTGGAAATGGGGCGCTAGAATAATACCTACAGAGAAATCCAAGGCCAAATGGATAGTAGTTTCTATTCTTAAATCTGAGAGAGATTCATTCTCATCTTCCCCATTTCTCTGTTGTTTGACTTTGGCAGCATGATGTGGTCTAGAAATGTGTTGAACCGAATTCATCCCTCTCCTGTGACATAGGCAGCCTATTAACTGCAGGTTGTAGATGCCTGTAACCAAGCAAAGCATGAAAAAACTGACTAAGTCTCAGAGATATTCAGCAATTTCTCATGGATAATTTTTAAAGCATGCTATATCTTAGTAGGTGTCTAGTGCCACTGAAAAGACTACAAATATAAAAGAGAAGTGATTTTAGCCTGGCCTTTTTTGTGAGTGTGAATTTAGAGAGAAGCCCACTCTTATTTTGGAAATTAGAAGTTTTAAACAATTCAAGTGTTAGATATTTGATCGGTGTAGAAGACAGACTTTTAGGCAATAGCTATTTTTTATTGAGCAATTTACTGTGTGCCAAATTCTGAGTTAAATACCTGCATTGTTCAATTCCCACAGCAACACTATGAGGTAGTTACTATTCTCTTCAATTAACATATGTGAGAACTGAAGTACAAAATAGTTCAGTAATTTGGTCAAGGTCAGATAGGTACTGTGTTCTGGATTTCTTCAAGAGTTCGAACTTGTAGAAGAGGAAACTGAGGCTGAGGGAATTGTCATTCAAATCTAGGCTTTGTCTGGTACTAACACCACACTGACTTAAACATCAAACTGTCATGAATGGAATAGAGAATTTGCTTGTATTTTTCCAGATTCATTCTGTAAGACAAAAATGGTTCCTGGATTTAGGTGATGGTACGAATTTCCCCTTATTACAGGAAATGAATAGTGAGATCTGTTTGCATATAACATACGACACAGTATAACACAGCAGGCCATTTGTATAAAACTTTACAGTGAAAACAGAGGGCACAAAAAGAGCTACTCGGAGTGGTGATAGTTGAGTTCCCATGGGACTTCTTCAGGTGACTTCATATGAGCAGACTTTCCATGCCTTCCGTGGGGAGGACTCTTTGTGAGGGTGAATTGGCTCAGAGGCCATTCTTCCCTAGGCTTACAATCTGCTAACAAGCTGTCTGACTAATAAGCCATCAGCCCATATTTGTAGACTAGAAGGATTATTCTAGCTGGAGACTGTGGTAGAGCAGAGTGTGAGGCTGGGAGGAACGTATTAATTGCTTTCCCTTCAGAGATGACTGTCTCTTCAACAGAAACAACATGTAGAACAGGGGGGAAGCAGATGGTTGTGCTCCCTAAATTCCCACTACTGTACTCACTTGTCACTGACAGTGTTTATCTAGTGATTGGGCTTTTAATTACAGCTTGATCCCAGTCTTAATATGTGGTGTATTATTAATGTTTAATAAGAACATTATAATTCGTTTTTCAGTGATTCAACCTACAAGGTTTTAGTGTCTTAATTTTGTTTCTGTTATAGCTGGGGACTGCATTGTGTGTACATAGCTATATGAACTCTGATTTTGTAGGACTTCTTCCAGATCTCTTTTTCTGTGTTTAATAAATTAATGGAAAGGGAATGAACAGAAACATATGATATAGCAAGTGGGAAGATAGGCTTTTATTCTAATCACACATATTATGTATTACGAGGTAATAGTGGGTACCAATAGCTGTGCAGGCTAACAAGTTATATAAAATGCATCTCTTGCCCTCCAAAAGCTTATTTTTCCATTGAACCAGTGAGTGGGACCTTGCTCCTAACGCCTGGGTGGTTCCTGAACTTGATTGGTTAGTGTTCCTGACAGTGTAACCTAACAAGATTAATCCCAGCATGGTGAAGTACAAATTCTGAGATTTTGGTAGACAGAAATCATGAAATAAGTCTAATAATGCCAATACTGATATAGACAATCAAGATTGGTTGGAGAACACATAAAAAATTCAAAAGATGTAATACATTCTGGATAGAGTTGAGGGAGGCATTTGCATGGCTCACCAAAAAGAAAAAGTAATTTTAAATCAGTCTAACACTTTAAACAGAAGGGTGCCTGTTTTTTTTGTTGATTGTTTTTTTTGTTTTGTTTTTTTTTGAGACAGGGTTTCTCTGTGTAGCTTTGAAGCCTTTCCTGGAACTCACTCCGTATGTCAGGCTGGCCTTGAACTCACAGAGATCCGCCTGCCTCTGCCTCCTGAGTGCTGGGATTAAAGGCGTGCGCCACTGCTGCCTGGCCTGTTCTTTTCCAATAGGAGGGAAAATGCTTATGGGAAAGATAAAGGGGTACACTTTATTCAGTCTGTTTCTTCCACTTAGCTCCATTTTGCTTGGCCTGTGAATTTGGAGACAGCAAAAGGACCAACTAATAGATTAAAGGGCAAGAAGAGGCTGAACCACTGGTATTCCACAAGGCAGAACAAGCTGGAAGGAGATGGAGGCACCAATAGCCTTAACAATTGAATAAATAAAGCCTTTCTTTTCGAAGAATACATTTATGAAATAGTTATCCACTATTAAATATTAACAAAGAATTAATGAAAATATCCCGAACACTTTATCTTCATAGGAAGCCCCAGCTCCCCATTTAAAAATGCTGTTTAAATCTCAGAATTACATCAGATGTGATTCAGGCAGAAATTAGTATTGGTCTCTGAGGGGTAAGTACTACAAGAGAACTGATAAGTGGACATGACCTCCAAGTGAGACTCTTCTGTCACCTTTTTCCAATTCATTGGTAAGAAGGAACCAAATTTAACAACTTTGTGATTGAATAGATTGCTAAATGTCAAACCCCTTCAGTGAGACCTAGCATTTCTCTAGTCCCTGTGAGTATGTGGAAAGAGTAAAGAAAATGAAAGCCATTTGCCCTGGATCTGATGTTGGCATTATGCAAATACTTCCTCTGCCTAGGGACTCCAGTGAGAAGGATCGTACCTTCCACCTGGCATTGGCTCTGAGTGGCTTTGTGAATTCCTTTGGTCTATTATGTTGGTTGGTACTTTGGCTTCTTCGGCACCCAGCACCAGCTGATGCCCTGCTCTGAGTCCCAGTTGGACAGCCTTTATTGCTCAGTACTGTAGCTGTCTCCAGGGCATTGTTCCTGAGACTTCCAACAGGGCAGATTTGTGTAGTTGGCCCATCTGGACAAGATCTGTAACAAGTAGAGCTCTGTGTAGTAAGCTCATCTCCATAGTCCACCCCCACCACCCCCGCCTCCGGGCTGCAGCAGCCTGACACCCCAGCCCCATCAGGGACAGTGTCAAAGAGATGCTCTCTGCTCCTTTCAAAGGGGTATTGCTTGGGGCCTCTCATTGATTGGCACTACCTGGGCAGAAATGGGAACATAGGCACTCTCTTCCCTTTTCAACTTAATCCCTTCCTATAAACCAGTTTTAAAATTTTGATTCTTGGTATGAGAGTGTTAATGTGACCAATAAAAGTAATTTCTAGATCTGAATATGGTAGTATACACTGTTAATCCTAACACCAGGGAGGCTGAGATAGGAGGATTATGAGTTCAAGGCTAGCTTGGACTGCAGGTAAGTTCCAGGATACCTTAAGATATACAGAAAGACCTTATCTCAAAAAAAAGAAAGAAAGAAAGAAAGAAAGAAAGAAAGAAAGAAAGAAAGGAAGGAAGGAAGAAAGAAAGAAAGAAAGAAAGAAAGAAAGAAAGAAAGAAAGAAAGAAAGAAAGAAAAGAAAAGAAAAAGAAAAAAATCTAGGCTAGCTTCCTTGGTCATTCCAAAGTACTGTCTTCAAAATGAAGGGAGACCAAAGGGTATCTCAATGAATAAGACAAATTCAGTATGGAAATGGAGAAAGAAGGCTGATCTTGTCCTTGTACTATAGAATTTACATTGACCATTGACTTAATTGACTTTGGATTAGGAATACTTGTGGGGTGAAGTAATGAGGCAGAGATGAAATAGAGAAGAGGGGGAGATGGGAAGAGAAAGGAGGAGGAGGAAAGTTGGAAGGGAGGGAAGAGAGCTCAGGTTCCGTAGTTCATTATTATTGTGGCTCCAGGGAAAAGGCCATCCGTCACATTGCAGAGGTTACTTGTTTGGGTGTTCCCACTGCTATCTTCACATTTGTATCTTTCTGTGTTCTTCAGAGTCAGATCACTTCAAAGAACTCCCTGTACCAGGCCCATGCGTCCCTGTGACACAGAGTGACACACCAACCCGCTCTGTTCTGACCTTTCTTCTACCCTTACCTGAATCCTGTGGAAGAAGATAGGGAAGCACAAAGGGGGAAAGAAACAACCCCAAATATGGCTCTAACTCGTGCAACTACTACCTGAGGTAGGTTGAGTTCTCGAAATATCTAGAAAGGCACACCCACTACATGCCCATTTCCTCCTCAGGAACTTTGAAGCCTGCATCATCCAGGACAAAGTGGCATGGCACCAGTATTTGCTTGCCAAGGAGAAAGTCAGAAGGTCCTGGAAAAGAAAGAGACTTTGGAGAAAAAGAAGAAAGAAAACCAGTAACAGTCTCTCTAAAGATTGTCTCTGTCCTCCACTCTTCTTAGGTGTTAGTACCTTTCATCTCCCTTTCCTAGATCATCAAATCCATTTCTTAAGGAATGAGCCTCCCCCTACTCTTTTCCTACCCAGCAGCATAACAAAACCAGTGGCCATGCAAATTGATTAAGGACTAGAACCAAGGTATCTGGAACTAGAAAGTTTAAGTAGATCTGGGAGGGTAGACTTTCTGAGAGTCCTAGGTTCTTGCCTCGGTTCTGAAAACGGTAGCTTTTCTCGAAGTGGACCTCTCTCGCTCTGTTGGGCCATGTAACAGTGCTCTAGCCCAGCGCGGCCTATGACTGCCACATCCCTGTGAAGTGGGGAACCTGTGCCTTTGTCTTTCTGTCAGTAAGGGCATCTGACTAGTCATTCAGGGCAGGGTTTGTGGACTGAAAGGACTCCATATTTGTGCTTGCAGTGGGAGAGAGAGAAGTGCCAAATAAAGGGCAGGCTCTGAATGGAAGTGGACAAGATGAAGATGACAAGCCGAGAATCCAGGAGTCTAAATATTCTTCACAGAGGACCCCCAGCAATGACAGAAAGTCGTTCTGGCCTCGGGCCCATGGATGAACGATGAGAAATGGCAGAGTAAGCAGTAAATCTGGATTGGGTAGATAAGCCATGTTTGTAAGTACAGCCACCGTTGGCACTGGGCAGTTCCCATATAGCTTGGGAACTGGTGATTGACCTTATGAGTGGGAGGTCAAGAAGGAACTGTTCAAGCTCCCGACAGAGTTTGATGGAAGGGAAAAGCCCACCCAGCTGAAAGCAGGAAGCTAGAAGCTGTACACTCTAGCCTCCACCCTATTCACAGTGCCTGGTGGATATCTTCTGACCTTAGAACTTTATAGACAACCCAATAGAAGATATTGAAGACAAGAAAAGTAAAGGGGAAGACAGCCCTGGAGATAGTGTCAATTCTCTTGGCTCGGTCCACATAGACTTTTCTCATGGTTTCTCCCTCCTTTCGAAGAGGGGCTGGAGGTTGGGGACTATAAATGCTGGAACCTTCCATTGGACCTCCATCCCTTGCTTGTAGGCAGTGTCCTAGGCCATAGCCACGAAAATAGAAGCGGCTTTCTCGTATGATGTCTTCTTCCTAGATTTACAGGAGATAAAAGATGGTATTTGAGGCCAAAGTAAAAACCAGCCAGACCACACATAAATGTCTCATATCCAATGTAATACAGGCAAATGGCTCACTACACCAGCCTACTACATGTTTTTTTGTTTACCACAAAATTTACATATATATACATATACATACATACATACATACATACATATATATTATATATATAAAAGATAAGCAGTTGTATGTTGTACATAAGTGATATGATTTCATTTGGAGACATGCACCTAGTTGCTTTTTGAATATGTGTAGCATCATTTGGAGTCATCTAAAATCAACCAAAGTGTCAACATCTCAATAGCAGATTATTTCTGACAGGTAAACAGAACAACAAAAACCAGGCAGTGAAGCTGAGATATTTTGACTTGGTGAAATTGGCTTTAGTGAATTTAAAAAGCTTTAGAATTAGTTTGTTTTGTATATAGTACTTTTAAAAAATGATTTTGACTTAAAGCTAAGAATTCTAAAAATTTTTTTTTGTTTTTGTTTTTTTTTTTTTTTTTTGGTTTTTTGAGACAGGGTTTCTCTGTGTAGCTTTGCGCCTTTCCTGGAACTCACTTGGTAGTCCAGGCTGGCCTCGAACTCACAGAGATCCGCCTGGCTCTGCCTCCCGAGTGCTGGGATTAAAGGCGTGCGCCACCACCACCCGGCGAATTCTAAAAATTTTAAATGACCAAGTGAGCTAGGCAACATAGGTTAAAATTTATCACTCTTCTGAAGATCTGTATATTTCTTTACAAATTAGCTGACCTGCGAAGGGAATCAGTGAATCTACAGTAATACTTATTACCCAATATGCATTACATTCCTATACAATGCAGGTCTTTGATAGACACATTAACATAGAGGAGGTATGTTTTGTATAGGTAGTAAGCAGTATGGTGTAGACAACGAAGTCTATTAATACAACCATTGGCTGACAACATTGAGTAGCTATGACACAGCTGGGAAGCAGGAAATAAGGGCAGAAAGAAATAAAAGAAATAGAAGGGGGAGAAGGAGGAAGAGGAAGAAATACCCACAAGAATATTTCTCATATACAAAAAAATATATCCTTCACATAGAAGATTATTATATAAATTAAAAGGATTGAATTCTCTGTGGTAAAAGCTTCAGCTAAGACATTGCCTGAAATGAAATATCCTTTCATAGTATGATTTCATCTACCAACTCAAGTTTGCCCAGAACTGAGGAGGTCCAAGAGACTAGAGTCTCTCATCGCTAACACTGAGAAGTTCAAGTTAAAACAGGAAGAGTAAATCACCCTAGTTACCTGATGTAGTTCTATACATTATAAGAACAAGATACATGTATATTGTGTGGGTATGTCACATGTGTATGTGTAAAATGCACACAAAGAAGGTGTTAAACATTTTGCACAATTCGAGGGACATTGTGGGATCTTTATAATAAGGACTCTGCAGCTACAGAACCCGATTGAAAAGTAGTTTTATAGGTGAGATATTGGTATGGTTGGTCATAGTAACATCGCCCAAAACTGAACTGTTAGGAGGGCAAGCCTGGTACTGGGCATCAGTGGCAAACAAACTCAGGCCAGAAATTCACAAACAAACCTTATTCTTTCCTCTGCCATCTGTTATCTCATATTTAGACTTGTTCACAACTATATTCCCAGTGACAGGCGCCATGCTTGGAACCTAATAGACACTCAGTAGATGTCTGTTGAATGGACAACTGGGCTGATGAACCACATGCTTCAGGATATAAGGAATGGAGTGGCTTTTTGTTGCGGTGATGCTAATATCTTGTCAGGGTCCCAAACTAAAGAGTCCACTCAGAAGGGAATCTCACTCAGTTATGAAATACTTGGCAGGAAAAAACAATTACTATTTGCCTCACTATACAATGTCTCCATAGCCTTTGGCTTCTGCAAAGGCAGTAGCACTTTAAACACAGGAAAAAGTTAAAGTCTTCCCACCAGAGAGCTTTGCTGTCCTGTTCTTGATTTATCAGGGTCTTTACAGAGAGTTGTATGTGTGTATGTCAGAGCCAGTTCACTGTCCTGCTCTTCAACTTTGAACTGGTACAGTTTGGCAGCCTGAAGGCTTTGCTCACTTATCATTTTAGCCTCTTTTATCAAGGCTCTTGATTCATCTCACATGCAATCTGTAATTAATTTTCACACTTTTTCTACAGGAGAGGTTTGCTGGGTCGATTTTACAGAAGAAGAACCAGAGGCAAGCAAGGTATCTCAGAAGGAATTGAAAAATGAGAGGGGTAAGTAAAGTTAAAAAAAATCTTCCTAGCATTCCAGTTCAGGACCCTGTACCCCACTCTTCACCTAGCCCACCAATTAGAAGATACAACCACAGAATATAGGTATTGAGATAAAAACTTCTAAAGGAGAAAGATGCAACTGCTATTTCTGTTTTTATAAATCGTATTATTTCTCCTTTTATCCAGTAAATCTGAGGGAAATTATTTGGAAATATTTCCCAGGCTAGAAAAAAATAACTTCATATAGAAGGGAAACTATATCCAGTAAAGTAAGCTGCTCTTGGCTCTTTTTAATTTTCATATGTATCTTTTATGGCTGGCCCAGCAAAGATGAGTAGCCTAAAATCCAAGGATAAAGGGGCCTGGGTTTGGATATTAGATATTTACGACAAATTCTGAGTGGTGAGTGTATATGTGTTGGGGAGGGACAGTGTGCCATTAAATATTACTTTGCAATTTCCATGTTTATTGAAATAGAGCGCAATTTTTTTTCTACTTATCTGGGTGCAGAGTTATGAGAGGCTAGAGAAGGAAGCTATACCCGTGCCAGCCTGGGAAATAAATGCCCAGTGGAGAAGGTGGGGTATGAAGATGGGAAAGAGTGATAAATAGTCAAGGGAGACAGGCAGGAAGAAAAGGAATTGGAGATGGGGTGGAGTTCTCAATGGCAGATGGAGAGGTGAACAAGGTTCTGAGAGTAAGTCTGAGAGGATTTGCTGGTATTTGGTAATTTTTCTAGTTCTCAAGTTATTGGATTCATAATAGCAAGAAGTTCTGTCTATCCAGTTCAACAGCCTTTGCCTTTAGCTGCTGTGTTCGGAGCCAGGGGCTAGCCCTGCAGGGATAATGAGAAAAAGGCTTTCCCCCTTTCCTCTGAATCATTTAGGCCATCTGGGAAGACAAAGCAGAAGCGCATGCAAAACACCTGTTATTTTAGGCAGTGCTGCGGGAGAAGACCATTGTGCAGGCGAGACAAGGGATTGAGGAGAGGTTAGAAAGAAAAGGACCGTCCCTAGGCTGGGTGGGTAGGTGACTGGCTCCTGAAGAACCCGATTTGGCCCTTGACTCTGGGTTCCTGAGAATTAGAATATTTCTCTCCTCTTCCATTGAGTTTTCTCAGACTGAAGGTTTCTAGTTCTTTTACTGGAACATCAAGGCCCCCAAAAGAGGGTCTAGACAAATATGAGCTCTCTATCAACTTGTTTAGCCAGTTTAGGGCCTCCAAGATTCCTGTATAGTTCCACTGGGGTTGCATTAGCTTTAGTAAACTCAAGAAAGGGATATTATTAATGGCACAGATTTGGTTTTCAGGTTTTATTCACATCAATAAAGCCACAGTCCACTCTTAGGCAAGCCACAGTGTCCTAAGTAGGCATCAAGCTACTGCTAAGAAACTTTGTAATAACTGAGTACTGTGGCTCACTCCATTATAAGCTCATGGCCAATCTGCATATAAACATGAGCAGACAGAATGTGGGCAGTAGCTGGTTGGATGGGTACAGGGTAGGAGGTGGGACTCAGGTCAAGCTGAGTAGCTCTGTAATAACTGTAGTAATGTTTGTTACTGGGACATCAACACAGGCATTTTAGGTAGAAAAGGGACTCTGGACTATTTGATGGCCTGCTCTCCTTTCCTAGGAAGGCAACGTTAAAAATTATCAAAATCAAAAACTCCTGTGAATCTAAGATTTTGGTACCTTCAGACAAGTTTCACACAACTAAAGAAGATGCTGAGATAGTTATTTTAGAAAAGAGAGAATCCTGTTTTCTTTCTCTTTGCTAATTCTGTATGTGTTTTCCTATCCCCACTATGAGGCAGGAAGTCTTACAGGCAGGTCTCTGGAAGAAAGAATCTTATTCAAAAAGATGCAGTTCTGTATCCATCCACTAGAGGGCTCACTATTTAGAAACTGTGAAAGAACAAAAGTGCAGAGAATTGATATTAAATCTACATGAGATAGGAGCCCTGTCTTCCCCAGAAAGAAATGTGAAATCATGCAATTTGTGTGATCATTGCAAGTCATGGTGGGGTGCTCTAGGATCAACTGAGGTGGGAGTTGGGTGTTAGGAAGAACAGAGTCCTTGTATTAGTATGTCTCAGATAGACTAGAATCAGAATTTGTGTGTGTGTGTCTCTGTGTGTTTACTATAGATCAAACCCAAGATTTATGTATATGCTAGGCAAGTACTTTGCCCCTGAGCTACATCCACTGCCCCCAGAGTCAAGATTTTTAACAGTGGGTTCGGGTAATTTGTTTTCTATCCTCCAAAAATAATTATGTGCTTGGCCTTTTGGTTTTGAAGCCTCTGGATTAGGCAGAAAACAAGGAGTCAAAACTCGAGACATTGTGTCTCTAAAGATTAAGCAACCAGTAGCAAAGCTTTTGGCTTTGCCATAATTGGAGCTTGTTTTTCTCTGGGTAGCCCAGGCACCTCTGTTGTCATGGAAACTTACCTAGCCTATTGTCTGGGCAATTGAGGGAAAGCTGCTTCTGTTGTCATGACAACTTCCTCTTCTATCTCCCCTTGGTGATCACTCTGCTATAGAAGAAATGAGGCTAACAAACAAGAGTGAGGAAGAACACCACCTCAAGCCTGACAACTCTGAAGTGCCTGATGATCAGGCCAAATTCTACCAGTCAAAAGAGGCAAATAGTGATCTTTTAATTCCAGTTCATGGGGACCATCTTACAGTGCTCCCCTTGAAAGGTACCAATGTCGGACTGAGTTCTTACCAGTAGGACAACTTAGAATACCTTTCTTCTTGATGTGAGGGAAACCAGAAACGACTGTTACTACTATACGCTTTGCATCTGGGATAGAAAGGGATCTTGGCAGTCGGGAGCCCAGGAATACCACAAAGTCACCATAATCATAGCAGCTTACAGTCCTGCTCCAGGGAAAGGTTTCCCACGTGTAACATCCCAGCCGGGGAGGGTTTTCCCAGGGAAGTTGTTACAGTTCTGCTCAGGTCCCTAGAAGTTTAACAAGTCTGCTCCGCCAGGAGGTTTTTCCAGTGCAAGTGTTGCAGTTCTGTTCTGCTCTGGTTCTGGCTAAAGTTGTTGCTTCTCTGCTCTGCTCCAGCGAAAGAAGGTCTCACCCAAACATCATTCAAAGATTTATTGGGAGGGAAGAATCCAGGAGAGTGGAGGCCCCTGCCAGGGTTGAAAAGGTCAGCTCCCAACTGAACAAGTACAGGGCTTCTTAGGGGCAGAGTTTTCCAGGGTGAAGATTTCCAGGGTGGGAATTGGCCAGACTTCAATCCCTTAGCTTGGACAAGCTCAGAGATTGGCTGGATTTCATGCTCAGGAATTGGTTGGTTTTGTGTCAGGTATTGGTTGGTTTTCCTGCTCAGGGATTGGTTAGTTTTGTGCTGAGTTGTTCAGGGGTAGCATGTGTTTCTTTGGCTCTGGTTTCAGGGCCAGAGTGTGTTTCTTTCACTGGCTCTGATTTCAGAGCCAAATTACTTCTTTGGCTCTGTTTTCAGGGTCAGGGTGTGTTCTTTTGGCTGACCCTTTTACCCTACAAGTACTTCTCAAAGCAATAGCATTTGTGCTAAGTCAATAAGGTTCTAATACTGGCAAATATGTTTTTGTTTGTTTGTTTGTTTGTTTGAGACAGGGTCTGCATGTGGTCCTGGCTGTCCTGGAACTTGCTATATAGATCAGGCTGACCTCGAACTCACAGAGATTCTTCTACCTATGCCTCCCGAGTACTGGGATTAAAGGTGTGTGCCACCATGCTTAGCCCTGGCTAACATGTTTTAAGTGCTTACTATATACCATACTCTTAATCCCTCTACTGCCATATAGGGGTTAATGTCCCATTGGATAGTTAAAAGAAACAGAACCAGAGGAACTAAGTATTTAATCTTACTGTCACTAGTCTGGGACTAGAATCTAGGGTTCCTGATTGCCCAGCACTAGACGCCTGGATTGGGACTCAGTTTGTGGGAGGAGTGATAGGGAGGAAGGAGTCCGAAGGAGAAAGGAAGTGGAACCCACCCTGTTGGTACTCACCATGCGTTGGCGTCTCTGCCTTCTACGAAGTCTCAAAAATTCTTTGTGCTGACGAGAGACAAAATTGACTGCAGCATACTCAAGCAGGGCAGCAAATACAAAGAGCAGGCATACAGCCATCCAGATGTCAATCGCCTTCACATAGGAGACCTGCAACATCCATCAACAGAGCAGTTATCCTTTCTGGAGTCCTCCGTGGACTAGCCAGTGGATTTCCAGCCCATATCAAAGGCTTGTTACTGTTCAGTTTTATCCTGAAACTTCTGTGGTTTTAAAGAAGTCTATCACGATATGTATATTTATCTGAAGGCCTATGTCAAAGAGACTGGCCTACCATCCTTTGTCTCTCAGCAGTCTCTACCCTCAGCTTTTATGAGCCTTTCCTCCCTATCCTTCATTTCCTTTATTTATTCTTCTTGCATTCCTGTTTTACCTTCTGATTCTTCCCTCTTAGTAAACAGCAATAATCAAAATCGTATTTGTTTGCCCTCTGGTATCCCCTGGGTTTCTCATAGCCACAGTGATAATTTGGGAGGGTTCACAATTTCCTGTGTGAGGTGTGTGGAGACATTTAATACTCATAGAGAAAGGGTCTTAGCAGAGATCACTGAGTTAGAAGGTGGTATTGGGACTGGGAAGTTCTGAGCTTTCAAATTAGTGAACTTGACATTTACCTAGGTTACAGCTTCGCTGGCAGACTAGGAGCTCCTCCATTCCTTTTGTCCTGCTAACCCTGTGGAGTTTTCTGCTGCGTTTGCAGGAGTCACTGCTGAGGAATGGAATGCAATGGTAAGCTAAGGCTTCGTCTCTCACCTTGGAGAGAATGGCAGAATCCTGAGGAGTGCCACCTAGCCCTTGTCATGGCACTTCCGTAATTGCAAGGCCCTCTCAGCATCCACCCATCTGGCTCCTACTGCTCTCTGAACACCTGCCTTTGGGAGCTCTTAGGAGTGTTTGTTTCCCACTTGCCTGGTCAAGGTTGAACACCAACCTCTCCAGGAACAGGGTACAGCTAGCTGGCTCTAAGAGGAGGGACAGAGCTTTAGTGTAGTGAGAGCCTTTTACCCCTGTGTAGTTTTGAGCTCACTCCATATAGCTTCCTGTCAGGAGTAGGATTCATGAAAAGTGACTTCTTTTTATCAGCTTCTGCATTATAGGGCACTGAGAGTGCTGCAGATCCCAGCCAGGGAAGGAAAAGATTTCATTGGATAGATTCTCTACTTGTTGGCTCTCTGTGATAGTGGAGATTGAATCCATGACTTCATGCATTACAGGCATAGTGCTTACCAAGAAGCTATATCCCTAACCTCTGATCTTAGTGGTTCTTAACTGGAAAAAACTGTTCTACCCACAAGAGCATTTAGCAATGTTTACCAAAAATTTTGGCAATATGGTTTTAAAATGGTGATAGCTACTGGCATATCATGGGTGGAAGACCAGGATGCTATTAAGCATCCTACAGTACATATCGTTCCTCCCTCTAAAACATACACACACCAGAAGTATCTGCTGCAACTGAGGTGTTAAAGTTGGCAAACCCTGCTTTCATTTCTGGGCAGTTCCACTGAAAGAGTGAGTAGTAGTGGGTTACTGGGTAACTCTGATTAAGAATTCCTTGGTGCTGTCTCCATTTCACCACCTATGAAGAAGGCATCCCAGTGTTTTTCACTGAACTATTTCACTGTGGCAGGATCAGAGATTATAAGAGGCATAATGAGGCTGAAGAGGTAAGCAGAGGTCAAAGGCCATGGTAAGTGTAACATAGCTAAATCACAAGGGTAATAGAGAACCTCCAAAGGGTTGTGATATAATCACAGGGACCTTTTTAAAATGTGTTAATGACACATTTATCATTAACAAGCCACAAATACATAAGGTACCCTGGTGCAGCTTTATGTCTTGTCTTTCATTTAGTTTTTCCTCTTGCAGCTGTGGAGATCAAGAGCCCGGCAAAGAGATGGAAGTCAGTGTCTTTAGGGTGTTACACAAGGCACTGAAGGAATGGTTTCTGGAGACTATGGAGAAAGACTACCCTACCTAAGTTCCCTTTCAAAGAAATCTCTTTTGCTGTCATCTCTAGATGGTAGAGTTGTGTTTTGAGTGAGAGTGGTGTTGCTGTCAGATGCCTCTGGCCCACCCTCATCTCCTTCCTCACACCCTCAAGGAAACCTAATGTTGCGCAAACTCAGGGGTGAACAAGAGCTCCTTGGCTTGCTGATTCCTTTGCTCCATGGATTTAGTTAGCAAGACTGTTCATTTTAGGGTGCATGCCTGAATATTTTGCTTACTGGCCAATGCGGCTATTCAGAAGTCATGAAAATATGACAAGAAGGTACTAAATGTTGCAAACAACCTCTTAACAAGTCCATTTTTTTTAAAATGAGGAAACTATGATACCTAGGCGCAGATGGATTGTGCTTGCTTACAGTGGGGAACCAGAAAGGAAATTCTCTTCAAAAGAAGGCATAAATTGCAGTATCTTCTTGGGTTATGAAGAATCTTCGTACTTGACAGAGACAAAAAATTGGGGCAGGGCTCTTAATGCAGTGATCCCCATATAAGGCTATTATAGTAATACAAGTATCATAGCTCAGGCTGGCCCTATGGCTCTCCTCTAGGGATAGTTGCCTCTAAGAGCCTCATTAAGACCCAAGTCCATTTGGGAAACACATACAGGAAGGGATCCCTGGCAACTTCTTCTCAGTTGCTTGATCCTAATCTGAACTTGATCCCTGTTTATCTCTGTAGGGGGCTTGGGAGTAACTCAAAGGTTTCCTAGCAAATGAAAAACCATCTGCTTCATTCCCAGATCCAAAACTCACTCTTTTTTAACTCTGACACCTGATAATTATAAAAGTAATTAGCATTTGAGCAATTATTATGTGCCAAAGACTGTCCTTGTATGTTAATACATAATTTATTTTTCACAATAACCTCATAGAGGGGGTAGAATTCTTAGTTTCATATTATAGGCAAGGCAACTGAGAGACAATTTACCCAAGGTCATACTATTAGTAAATAATGAGGCTGGGATTTAAAACCTAAATCTGCCTGACTCTACTCTCCTACATTTAAACTCCCCTATAGCAATTTCATAAACATGCTGTCAGTATCCATATTACACACTGCTTAAGTCTCCAATAAAAAAAGTCTTATTTGGAACAACCAATGAGAGACAGCATTTCTCAGTGCCAGGTTCCCAGCAAATCAGAATAAGAGGGGATATGTTCAAGGTAAGATTTGTTATTCTTCCATGACCAAGTACAGTACCTGGTACATAGTACGTGTTCAACAAATATTTATTGAATGAAAAAAAATGGCCTCACTCCCTGATTTTCTCCAAGCCGCGCTGACCATAAGGACTTTGAGGTGACCTTTAAATTCCCTACATGAATACATGATGCAGGGAGAACTCTTCTTACTCCCATCAGCACAAATTTTTCTGCACAGTCAAAACATTAATGGGCCCCAGATGATCAGAGTCTACTGTCTTTAATTGCTATTATATTTGCAACCTCAAAGTATTCTCCTTCCCCCAAAATAAACACTATGTTTAGAGCACTTTGTAATAATACCTTAATTGTTAAAGAAAGGGGACAGAATTTGATTCAAAACTCGACTATTTCTTTGATTGTTTCTGGTCAGGATTGACCTTGAGGAGGTCATTTAAGCTCTCCGATCTTCATTCTCATCTGTACTATGAGACAATGGAACTTTTTGTATGATACGGGTCTTTTGATGTTGACATGCTAGTATTTAGTAAGGCACTGTCTCTACTCATTCCCTAGCCAGCAACATTCACATTGTTGTACTGTTATTAGTAGTACGTTATGGAGAAGAAGAAATGTTGCATGCCAGCTATTGCTTATCCACAGTTACAACCTTAAATCCAGGGTAAAGAGGGAGTAGCACAGCGGGGAGCATGCGATGAATGGGGAATAGGAGGCTTTATGTCAAGCAGCTTCTCTTGCATATCTCTTCACCTTAGGCAAAGAAGCTCTAGATCCAGAGCTCTGGGTTGTCATGGTGAGGACAGTGGTGATGCCGAGGCCTACGCGGGCAGGGGCAGCATCCATGTTGATCCAGAAGGAGACCCAGGACAGGATGACAATGAGTAGGCTGGGAATGTACATCTGAATCAGATAGTAGCCCATCTGCCGCTCCAGGTGAAACTTCACTTCTATGCAGGTGAATTTTCCTGTAAGAAAAGAAATGAAGTATTAGGCTCTGAGTTCCCAGACTGCAGCTTAGCCTGAGGGAATGTGGGTCAGGAATAGGGCAGCCCTGCTGAACCAACCTCTGGGATCCTCAGCTGACCAATAAATGATACTTTCAAAATGGCCCCAGGTAATGCCAGATGCTACTGTGAAAGCTCTCTAATCAAGCCATAAAGATTGCCTTCTTGCTTCCAGAATGTTACCTTAGAGCATAAGATCTTTCAAGTAACAATTACAGAAAGAGGATAAAGAGTAAGAGGGCTCCAGACTCAGACCCTCTGGGGTTGAATCTCAACTTTTCCCTTAATAGCTATGTGATCTTGAATAATTTACCCAAGCCTTTTGACTGTTACGCCTTTTGTTTTTGAGACAAGGTCTTTTTTTTACGTAGCCCAGGGTGACATCAAATTTGGAATTCTGTGCTGTATCACCATGCCGATTTCCACCCAAGCTTTCTGAACTTGTTTTCTTGCCTAGAAAACGGAGTAATTAAGAATATCAACTCCATCATTGGGCTGTTAGAAAAAGTTAAATGAAATATTGTAGTCGAGGTGCTGAGCACAGTAGCTGTTTCTACCATTAAATCATCATTATGAAAGAGTTAGTTTGGACTTCATTTGCATCTCACCATCCTTCTTTGCACTTGCTCATGTCCCTGAATCTCTAGTAACAGCTGGAATAAACATTCCCTGTGTCTTAAGCAAGCGAGAAGAACAAGCTAGTATACAATTGGAAAGGATTTGCAACAGAGATAGATCAGCTCTGGATTCTGCTAAGCAGGTTCCCATAGAGTACAAGGAAACACTATTCTGTTCCACCATAAAAATGCATTGGTTCTAGGCACATATCTATCTCAGTGTTCTTCCTTTTCACATGCCAGTCCTCTTTAATTTATCCTGCTTCCCATGGCTCTGAAGCTAAGGAAACATTCATTAACAGCTTCTCTCAAAACCACAGGCTTAGGATAACACAAGAGGAAAAGCAGAAGACTTGTACAGCTGTCTACAAATATCTATTGGGAGATGGCTTTCAAGACCCCCTCACAGATACTAAAATCCATGGGTACTCGAATCCCTTATATCAGATGACATCATATTTGTATTTAAATTATGCATACCCTTCTATATACTTTATATTAGGTCTGTATTATTCATTTTAAACATTTATGTGTGTGTGTGTGTGTGTGTGTGTGTGTGTGTGTGTGTGTGTGTGTGTGTTTGTATACCATAGCAATTGTGTTGAAGTTGGAGGACAACTTTGAGTAGTCAGTTCTCTCCTTCCACCACATGGGTCTTGGGAACTGAACTCAACTCATTTACCCACTAAGCCCTGTCTTTTCAGCTCTAGCTTGCTTATGATATAACACAATGTAAGTTCTATGCCAATGGTGGTTAGACTAGATTTTGGGGGACTAATGAAAAGGAAAAGTCTATATATGTTCAGCACAGGTGAAATTTTAATTAATGCTTTCGTTCTGAGGTTGGAAGGACACTCGGACATGGAACATGTGAACATGGAGAGGCAACTGTGTGCTTTGATGCTGTTCTAAGGTTTAACTCCTGATTGCTCAAGACCAGTGATTTGAACTGTTCCTGCTTGCGGCTTTGGCATGCTGTCTGTCTCTATGACATCTTGCTCATCCCTTAGTCTACCCCTACTCAACGCCATGGGCTTCTTCCTGGGACATGCCTTTATTATGTACCCGTATTTTCTTCCCATGCTTTCCTCCATTCTTTATTGCAATAATAGTTTGAGTTTTAATTATAAGATTAACATTTGTTTAATATAGAAAAACGAGAAGAGAAAGAATAACATTCTTAAGCTCATATTTATCAAATCACTACTAAGTGACTAGATTTTAATACTTTAACTAAATCCTGTAGCACTTTTTGGGGTGGGTAAAATGATTATCTCTCATATTACAGATAAGGCTACTGAAGCATAAAGAGATTCAACTATTTTTCTCAATGGGATCCAACCAGGATATAAACAAGCTAGAATCTAAAATCAGGCTTATATTATTGAACTCACACTACTTTAGAAATATTTAGTAGTAGTATTTCCTTTCTAGGATATTAAATACATATTTTTGCTTTGTTTTTATCATAGTATAGTCATGCTCTGTATACATCATTGAATCTTTTTTTTTTTTTTTTTTGGTTTTTCGAGACAGGGTTTCTCTGTGTAGTTTTGGTGCCTGTCCTGGATCTCACTCTGTAGACCAGGCTGGCCTCGAACTCACAGAGATCCACCTGTTTGCCTCCCGAGTGCTGGGATTAAAGGTGTGCACCACCACCGCCTGGCACATCATTGAATCTTATTCCCTTTTTAAATTTGTACTTTCCCATGAAGATAGAAGAACTGTGAAAGTATCATGTTCACAATGGCATACTATTTTACCAAGCAGGCACACTGCTTAATTTACTTCTGCCATATGGGTGAATAGTTAGAATAATTCCAAGTTCTTGTTAGCATTAATAGTGACAGAGAAACCTTAGTGACTAAAACCAATGAGATATTTTGTAATATTTTCTTAAAATACATTCTAAGGGTGGAATTCCTGTATAGATAAGTAGGAAAAAAAACTAGCCTCTAGACTAACGTTCCTCAAAATATGGTGTTTCCTGAACTACCTGCATCATAAGCCTCATGATACTTGTTAACATGCAAATGTCTAAGCATTTTCTGTAGTATATGTGATCAGAATCTCCGAGAGTTATAGCCTAAGAATCACTGTTTTTAAAAGACTCCCCAGGCAAATATAGTGAATACAAAAGCTTGAAAACAATTCACCTACTTACAGATTGCCATTCCCCCTCCCAAGTTTCTACTGATTTCTCCTTCCAGGTGTAGTTTGTCAATTCAAGGAACTGTTTCCTCCTGCCCAAATCCCACACAGCTAAGTTGCTAAAGGAGATGAGGAACCAGCTACTCTTAGGAAAGCTGGAGGATTGAGCTGTCCCGTTATGAAGAACAGTTCCTCTCCACTTCCCCATGCTCCATATTCAGGAAAAGAAGACAATCCAGGAGGGCTGGCCAGTGGAGGTGACTATGGAAAGTGTGCCTGGTCCGCTACCTGCATCCTCTCTGTTTGAGCACAGCTATTGACAACTCCTAAATGTAGATTTCCCAGCTTTCACACCGAACTGGCCCTCGGAAAAAGGAGACTCTTGCTGCTCACTGTCACAGGCCTCTTTACTGTGCAGCATATGAGAGCGATACAAACATGGGCTTTGAGGTTGGATCTGGATTTGAATTGTAAATTTGACGTCTATTACCTGTGTGGCAACTGATTGAAAGTCTACCCCCTCCTCCGTAACTTTCTTTTTAACGTTTATCTTCCCGTCATTCATTTTTTCTATATGTATATGTGTGAGTATGAGCATGCCACAGTGCATGTGTGCAGGACAGAGGAGAGCTTGTGGGAGTCAGTTCTCTCCTTCCACCATGTGGGTTCTAGAGAGGAAACTTGGGTCGTCAGTTTTCCTGCTGAGCCATCTCTGGCTTTTCTGTGTTCTCTTCATGAAAGTGGTGCTGATAGCCACTTCCATGATGAAATAAGGTATAGGACACATGGAGCATCATAGCTCTTCTATTCTGTTGAGACTCTAGTGGAACCTGGTTGCCTTGTCCCCTTGTCTCCTTTTGAGACCCTCTAGTACCTTATAAACACTAAAGACCTGTCTGATTCTTACCTGTGTTGTAGTGCTTGGTACAATAACCTAGATCCTTCTCATCCCGTAAGATAAATTGGGGAAGTGTCAACCCCTCAGCCACTTGGACAGCAGGAGCATCTTCTAGCCACTCAAACACGAGGTCATTCATCGTGTAGCCAACTGCAAGTGACAGAGATGTCAAAGAGCTTCAGAGTGTATGTTTTGGGTGAGGATAGAGGTGGAGTTAAAGTTAGCAAGTGTACATAGTTGAGGAACAAGGTTTGGGGTTTAGAAATGGCACACTAAATCTTGGAAAAGGGGATATTTCAGAAGAGGGTATGTCTTCAATTGTCTCAATTGTCTCACAGGCTTGAGCAAGTCAGAAAAATCCTACACTACTATGTAGGTCTCAAGCTCGGCAAATGCCTAGAGAGCAATTACTCTGGCAGACTTAGGATGCAGGCCAAGAAGTTTGGAAAGATGTCAAGGACCCCAGCTGGGAACCTCCTGCCACTTCTTAAGCCCAGAGGAGTAAGCATGTGTACCAACCACATGTCCTGAGCTGAGCCTCAGAGCCAGGACTTCTGCCACTTCACCTCAGGGAAGAGAGAGCTATTTCTGTCCTTCCAGTCATGCATGGGAGAATGTGCATGCCACAGACTCCTAGCCAGGGACTTGAGTTGGAAAAAATGGAGACTTAACAGCTGAGCATGCCAAGTTGCTCACAGATTACTTGCAGTTCATGAAGGCTCCTGCTACAGACATGATGACCATGTTCTCACATGTAAGGGGAGACCAAGGTTTACAGAATCTAGTGTAAGGTCCACTGTAGCTGTGCGACTTCAGGTGGGTTATCCACGTTTTTGTAAAATGAGGCTAGTAGAGGCTGCTCCACTAAGTTTTAAAGTTGTGAGGGATAATGGGAACCTGCTTGTAAAGATGATGTATGAATTCTAGAGGGTGGGACCACAGGGCACTTTCTTCGCATCACTGTCCCCATGTGCTAGAAACAGTGCAACAAGTTTTCTTCTCTGAGGGATGTCTCCTATGTCAGTGTCATCTCACCCAGGTGACAGGTGAAGAGTGAAAGTAAATGATGACCCACCCTTGCCATCTTTTGGCTTTTCTTCACATTTGCCAGCCCATGTAGGTTGACACCTTCGTATAGAGGACCTTGGCCGACTTCACCTCTCTAGGCACTGTCCTATGTATATGCCTGAAGCTGTCCTCTCATTCTCTGTAATCATTATCGGTACTCATGGAGAATCGGAGTTCCAAACTGGCATATATACGGGCATCTTCAATGTCTTAATTCTGGGAGAGGAAGGTAAAGCGACTTTAGGGACTGCAAGAAGAAATTTGGACAGAGGATGCACCCTTCAGGTAAGTGCCCATGGCCAGTGCAAGCACATTCTGTAAAAGGCTGGGAGACATTGTGTTCCTGTAAAAGACTGAGCATCATTATGTTCCCCAGCTCTATGGAATAGTCAACCCAAGTCATGTGGGAACACAGAAACTACACTGGGCTAGGTGTCAAGGAACCTTGGCTTCTAGTCTTAGCCGTGACCAGAAGTGATTGTGTGTGCTTGGGCAAGTCCCTCTGCTGTCTGAAATATCATCAGAGGATATTAACTAGCTGTTAAGCTAGGCCTTGCCTTGCTGTTCACTAGAGACACTTACAGCTTTCCAGCTGCATTGTGCAGGTCTGGATGTCCATTGGGAAGTTCTTGAGGTCCATTGGGCAGGACAAAATGAGGGTCAATCTGGTGGGAGCAGTAAAAGAGTAATGACATCAGTTTACTGGGGTGCCACATTGTATAGCACGGGCCATCTTCCCACCCTTCCATCTCCATCTGGCTGCTTCTTCTTGATACAAAATCCCCTTGCTGTATATTAGGTGCACCTGATACTGTAGAGCACATTCCCATTCTTGAAGATGCGTAGTAACTTGTTGTCTGTGGTCACCTCATGGAAGTTGGCCCCTTTCTCATTGGCAAAGAAGAGGTCTGGCTTCCAGATAGAGTCGAGCATGGAGGGGTCTAGGTCCAGAGAGTCATCAGGATATTCTCGGTAGGCCAGACGTGGGTCATTCCATTGTTGCCGCAAGAAGACATTTACCCGGTAGTCCTGGAAGAGTGGCGAGGAGGGCCTATCAGAGGCAGTGCTTTTCCCATGGGTCCAGTAAAACCAACATGAGCAGAAGGGCCATGAGGAGGAAATGCTGGAGATGCGTCTTGGGGGCAGTAGATATTTTCCAATGGAGAAAGCCCACTTTGGCCAAATATGGCAAAGATGGGAAGGGAAAATACATTCACTTAAATATCTACTATATGCCAGACTCTCTGCTAAATTCTTTTTTGTAGGACTGGAGGTTGAACCCAGGTTCTTGAGCATGCTGGGCAAATACTATATCACTGAGCCACACATCCTCAGCTCTAAGTACTTTCCTCAGATGCATCATTTTATTTAAACCGCTCATCTTTCTTGTGTGGAGAATGGTTTCATGGTCTATGCTTTGCATATGGATAACAAAGACCAGGAAAGATAAGTCAATCTGCTTACCATAACTATTAGGTGGCAGAATTGGAGTTTGAACTCAGGTCTTCCTGATTCAGAAGCCTGCACTCTGCATTGGATTACTTCGCATATTCGATGAACTGTTCTTAGACTCGTTTGCATTTAGCTAGGACAACCCTGGCCTAGCAATAACCTCTCAGTCATCAGCTCAGATCTCCTAGGGCTTAAGCTGGGATCACAAAGCAGGAAGAGGACACCAGAAAGGAAATGCTTGCTATCTGGTGAGCTTTTCCCCTTCACGCTGGAATGGAAGTGGGGAATAGGAAGACCCCTTACCATGGTGGTCTCAGTGACGGAGCCAAAACTGTTGATGAAGATGTTGCAGGTCACATTCACAGGTGGGCCTAAGGGTAGCAAAGCACAGCCCATTGGCAGGGCATTCCAGAAAGCTGAGCCCAGGTTCCAAAAATCCCTCTCTGAGCTTCAGATCAGGCCACTGCTGGGAAAAGACTGACAGCAAATGGACCCACAGGCAATAGGGAATAGAGGCTCTTTCTGAGCTAAAAGATCTAGCCTTGGACTTCCAGCCTCCTTCCTTAAGGCTGGCCATCGAGTACTAGCTAAGTAATGTGCCACCCAAAACAGTAAGCATGGAGGGAATTTAGTAGATGGATGTTTCTTACCTTTGAAATTGGGCCTAATCCTGGCATCATATCCAGAGGTTCGTCCCATTAGCTTATCCAAGAAATCAGAGGGGGACATGGGCTGGGACCCTTTGGGCCCAGATTTGACATCCTCTTTTGCCAAAGCCACACTGGACAGGAGAAGAAAAGAAGTTTGAGGATAGTTGTTTTCTACATTGATTACAGATTGTGCTTTCCCATCTCCATCACCCTTGGATGAATCTGCCCGTCAGGCTGTAAGATAAGAGAATGGGCCTCTGGTGTACTAAATGAACAGACAAACAGTTATGAGCCATCATGGCTACCCAACAATAGTCCTGGGAAATGGCTTTCACATAGATTATATGTTTTTACTCTTAATTCTCAAAAACATGGCATTAGGACTCTCATTTCCATTTTACAGATGAGAAAACAGGCTTGAAAGTTCCTTGCCCAAAGTCTCAGAACTTCTGAGTGACACAGTCAGGACTCAAACAGTGGACTAAGGAGCTACTTAGTGTTCTCTTCCTGAAGGCGCTTGGAAAACATTCAAAGAAGAATGGCATCTTCCCCAGTGTGTTGCTAATATAGCCTAGCCAAGGATAGGAGGGGCTTTAGGACAAACAGCTTCCCTGAGACCTGGTATCGGTTGCTTGGGCTTTCTGTAAGATGTGCAGGACTTAGGACTCAGCTTCTATTGGGGTAGGCTTCATTTGTGACATTTATTTTCTTTTTTTGCATGGCAAGAAGCTGTGTTTAAGTGTAGGCTCATGGCTACTACAGGCTGGTGAATATGGTAAATAAGCAGGGATCTATAGCCATGGGAGAGTTTCCCAATAGAGTGATCGTACTGAGGGAAACTCCCATCTTTCTCTACCTAACAGCTTAATTGGGGGATGATGTCAGTATGTTTTGGCCTGGCATAGAATCTAGCCTCTTTTCTTGTGTCAGTTTTCCTCCTAAGAGACCCAAGGAGGTGGATCAGTGACTAAAATGCTTGTTATAGCACAAGCACAAGGAACAGCGTCCAGATCCTCAGCACCCAGGTAAAAGTCTGGTGGACATGGCAACACTTATAATCCTACCACTGGCGAGTCTAGCTCTCCTGTGGCAAGCTGGATAACTAGATGAGCTCCAACTGGCTAGATATGACCCTGCCTCAATATATAAGATAAAGAACGATTGAAGAAGACATTTGACATCAACCTCAGGCCTCTACACATATATGCACACATGCATGTCAGTGCGCACCCACATGCATTTGTGCCCACACATAGGCAAACACTTGTACACACATACACGAGTTTCCTTCTAGGAGCAGAGAAGTCCCTTCCACATACCCATGTACTGGTGTACTAGCCAACACACAGACTAGGCCCCAGGGACTCAGCAAAACCCGAGCAGAGAGGTAGATCTCAAGACTGCACTCAGCCAGACTTGTGGCTAGAGCAGGTACTTTCTTGATGCAGCTTCCTGTCATCACTGTGCCAGACATAGCTGGCTCCACAGCTGCCACAACTGCTGCACTGTGGGACTGAGCGGCAGGATGACAGCTGTCTTTCTGTGTCTTAGGCTCCTCTAAGCCAGTGGCCCTCTTTCCCCAATAAGTCTGTGTTCTAGTCGGTGACTGGTAGAATCATTAAAGAAGCTAAGGTACCACATTAAGTGCTTCACAAGCCTTAGCTAGGTTAATTCTCACACCAGTCCTCCCTCATTATCTCTATTACAATTGGCTCTCTATATCCATGGGACATTGGTTCTAGGACTCCTTTGTAGATAATCAAATTTTCAGATGCTTTAATCTTCTATATAAAATGCTGTAGTCTTTGGATATAACTTGTGCACATCTTCCTGTGTACTAGCAAATCATTTCTGGGTTCTAATACCTAATGCACTGTAAATGTTATACACATGGTTGCTTAGGGAATAAGGACAAGGAAAATCCAAATATGGGCAGCACAGGTGCTATTAAATATTTTGTGTCTAGGATGCTTGAATCTGAAGATGTGCAGCTGATGGATGCGGAGGACTGACTGTATGGAGATTAGGATATGGGGGACCAGTGCGGTGGAGGCGAAGTGACTTCTCCAGGAGCCTATAGCTGGTGAATGGTAAAGCCAAAATTCAGAGCCAGAGCCAGTAACTTCAAGACTCAATGTGTCTGTCCTAGTACTGTCACAAGGCAAGTAGCCCAAGGTGATGTACCAGAGTGAGGAATGGTCAAGACCTGTCCCGCTGTGACTTCCTAGAGTTCTGCTTGAATCCCCAAAGCAGGCGGAATCCCTTGCCCTGGGGACAGAGGGCCACCCTGGCCCCTGGCAGGAGTAGCCAGAGCAGGTGGCATAAGCAGACTGGGGATATCCAAGGAGGTTGGTAGTGATGCTGGGGCAGGCAGAAGTCTGTGGCTTCACCACAGGATACCCACACTAGCCAGGTGCTTCTGCTGCTGCTGTTGGCCATCTGCCACCTGCCTGCTGGGACGCCATATGGCCCTGCCTACAGAGCAAGAGACCTCCCTACTGTCCTCAGCCTCACTCAGGTCACCTCTCCACTAGTCCCTGTCCTAGGACTCTAGGAGAGGCTGTGCATCTTCTGTCTTTAGTTTAGCCTCCAAACCTGTTTTGGTCCCGCATCTTCTAAGATTGTCCTGTCTAAGGAAACATGACTAAGAGTTACTTTGTGAAACCACTGTATCCACTTTTTCATTCCTGAAAAGTTCCAAACACTGACAGGACCTAGAAGGATCAAGGACTAACAATTCTCATACAAGGCCTTTGGGTGGTATGAGGAGAGAACTTTGGTTCAGCTCCTGGGTGCTTGAGCAACCTTGAGCAGGTCACTACCCTTCTCTAGGCTTCACTTTCCATACATCCAACAGATAACTTGAACTTAGGACTCTAAGAGCCCCTCTTCCCCTGATTACATCCAGTTTATAAGCACACATGGTAATTGTGCCACTTGTTCTTGGATCTTGAGGCAGTCTCCCCTCTCCAAGGGTCAACTCAGTGACCCCGTTATGTCTATCATGTCTGTATCCTTTCACCTCCCTCTAAGTCGCCATCCCACTTGGAGCTGCTTCTCACTTCTAAGCATACTGGCCCACTTTGCACCCTTTCCTGCCTGCCATCCAGTGTGTCCATAAACAACGGGGCAGAAAGCGCCTCAGAAGCAAGATGTTCTGGGACACTCCTTGGGTTAAGACACTGCTCTGGCATTCACTCTTTCCACTTCATGAAGTATTCCTTTAAAGACCCGTTCAGCCAAGCCGTAGCTGTCTTTTCTACTCAGTGTACGTGTGAACCTAGACTAGCTCTTGTTATGAGAAGGGGGCAAACAGTCAGGACATTTACAAGGAGCCCCAAGAATTCCTTGCTTGCAAACTCAGGAAATAACTGCTACCTGGTTCCTCTAAAAGGACAGTGAGCAGCCATGTGTACAAGGGCAGGGTGACTGCAGAAAGCTAAGGTTCAGGTAGCCCAGCTCCATCCTGCTGTGGTCCTGTAGCAAACCTATGCCACCTGCAGCCTCTTTGGCAGGCGTCTGACATATGTTTCTGTCATTTTTAGGGATCCACCTGGTAGGGATATAGGGTTCAGTTACAGGACAAATGACCTCCATTTTAGGACTCAGCTACCTAGCCCCTACCCGGGCCCATGCAGTTCACCCATATAGAAGCTCCTCCACCGGCGGCACTGGAGCTGCATCTGTACTGGACAGCTCCTGGGTCCTGACTAAGGAGGGTGTGTCCACCCCCGATGCCCTCCAGACTGGTTTTTGTTTTTTTTTTGCAAACTTAGAAGAAACTGTGCCAGCTAGCCCATCTGTTACCACCAGCCCCCCAGTTAGTGTTTGCATGCACCTCCTTCTCACCCCACTGAGCTCACCTGAGGAGGACCTTCCCTGGCAGGGTCCAGAGAAGAAGGAAGAGGGTTGCAGGAACAAGAGTTGTCATGCTGCAGAGGGACCTTGGAGTCCTTTCTCAGCCTGGCTGCCAAGGTGAGAGCAGGTATCCCTGTGGGAAAGCCAACAGTATAGAGCCCTTCTCCAACTTGGGCTGGAATAAGGAGCCTGTGTGGCTGGGCTAGGAGTTGAGCTCTTTTTCCTCTCCTGACTCTTTCCTGCCCTGTCCTTAGCAGTCAGGGTCTAGAACTATTCCTCTGGAACTGAACCTGACACGCATAACCCTCCCAGCTCCAGCTCCGGCTTGGACTTGTCTTGGACTGAGGAGGGCCTCAGCCTGCCGGTCAGGGAGCCAGAAAAGATTCTCTTTGGGTAGCAATCACTCTGCAAACCCTGGAGAGTCTTGGAGGGGAGGGAGGAAGGAGCCCGGTAGAAAGATGTTTCCCTCCCTCCCACATCCCCCTAGATGCACCCTCCGAAAGCAGCAATTTAAAGGCACAGTCGCCAGCAGCTGGAGTGGGGTTCCCAGCTTGTCTGAGTACTGGGGAGGAGCTTGGGCTGCTGAGCTGCCGCTTGGGGAGAGCCTGAGGTGTTAGGTCCAGCCTCCAACTCTCCGGGAGGAATGCTCATACACAGGCAGCCTTATTACCCCTGTACCCAACAGTCTTCTTTTCAGCCTGGAGCCAAGATAGGGCACTAGAGTAAAGTCTTAATTAATGCTTTTTCTAAGGGAAAAAGACCCCACAGAGGTCATGGGGGAGCCCCATGGTATCCTAAAGATGACAGCTTAAGGTCAAACAAAGGTGTAGAAGAGGCTGACTGCAGGGACTGCTTTTCTGTACCCTATGGATGGAGGCATGGTGGATGGTGGCCCACAGACTGCCCCTCTCTTTACCTGCCCAGTTCTATCTTTCTCTTATCCCCTCCAACCTGGTAATTGTGCCTTCTCTCCCCTGCGTGGTTTCCCTCCCTCAGGTAATCTCTGGAGCCTGTCACCTGTTGTAGCTCTCAAAATCCTTCCTCCTCAGTGTCCATTCCCAGGCCTGCTTGTGGGAAGGAACAACTGTCCTGGGTGGAGGTACGGGAAGAGCATGGCGGAGAGATTGGCTTTGTAAGCTTGAGAGGGATCACAGGTGGGAAGTGAGGCCAGGAGTTTCCTCCTGGCTGCTCTTTGTCCAGTTTCCCCACGCATCAGCTCTCTTCCTCTCCCTGAACTTTTCCCTCTTCCATCTTTTTTCCCATGTCAGGTTTCCTCTGTTCCTTCCCCGTGTCTCACCCCCTGTGTCGTCCCCCCCTCCCGTCTTTCCTTGTTTTCTTCCTCTAGCCCCCCTCTGTCTTACATCTCTCACACTTTCCTCCTGAATTCTAGCAGTGAGAAACGGAAGGCTTTCTTTTCTTCGGTGGCAACTCTCCTACCAGCTCTGCAGAGTTTGAGTGTGTGCTGGGGGAAGGGATCAGTGCCACTTTATTCTGATCAATTTGTCATCCGGCTGGCCGTAGCCTCTCCAGCCTCCCCAGAAAGAGATTTGGGAAGATTAGATGCTCTTGCCCAGGGGGTCCTATTGCCTATACAGAGGGAGGGATTAATAAGAAGGCATTCATGTGCAGCGGCTCTCTTTTTTTTTTTGCTGTGTTATTAAGGAAAAGGATTTTTCAAATTACAGATGAAAGCCAAAGAAGAGAATTTTCAAGATAAATGCTGAAATATTGATGAGTGAGCTGAGCTTTTGGAATTGGGACTGAGAATGTTATATGCTTCAATGCTTGTATGGTGGGTCAAAGCAAAATACTAATTACCCTGGTAACATCTTGAGCCACCCTCCCCCCTGCTCACCTTTCCTCCTTGTGTCCCTAAGCGTCACATAACCCACTTTTAGACAGGAACAGAACCTGGGACCTTTCAGGGCAGAGCACCAGGCTGGGAAGCTGAGAAGACGGCCGCACTTTCCTCCTTTGTGTGACTTCCCCGTCCTCTGACACCCCTGATCCTGTCTCTTCCCTTGCCTCAGCAGTACCCCTGCTTCTCTCAGGTCGCAGGACAAGACCCTGCAAAATTAGCTAGTCCTAGTTTTCGTTTCACTGATTTGTCTAACACTGTTTATTCTCTCTTTGTAGTCTGGGGGTATTTTCACGTGTTGCCTACCAAGTATTCCTTATATTCTTACTCATCTGGACTCAGTGTTCTTGTTGCTTTGTCAAGCAAGAGTTGTGGAACCACATCACTGCCCTTAGTTAGGAGACCCCTTGTGTATTCTCTTGGGTCCCTCCCCTTCCATCTCCTCAGCATACCACACTTGCTGATTTCCTTGCCTCTCCCCCACTCTGTCAAGAGCTTCCTGAGAGCAGGGACACATTATCTGCCAAATCCACAGCACAGGGCAGGCAATTAAGGAACACTTTTTAAAAGATTCACCCTTGGCACCCAGATCCTCAAGTTTACCACCTATGAATCACCCTCCGTCAAGTTAGAATGATAAGTTTGACATAGAGAGAAAGGACCAGCATGAGGCAATGGTAATAAGGAGAAATGAGGAAGCAGTTTTTATTCACTTGCCCCTTGGGCCCCGTGGCCTCACATTCAGTCATCTGGAATTCTTGGCTAATGGAAGGCATAGTCCCCTGGGGACTGGTCCATTGTTGCAGGTCTCACCTCCGCTGTGCCCCATGGGATCCCTGAGAGCTGAAAGCATGGCAGGGTCAGCTTCCTGGGAGGACAGATTCTTTCTCATGAGAGGCTGCAGCAATGAGCAAATGTCTGGCTGGTCTGATGAAGAGGTACAGCCTTCCTAGGGTGCCCAGGGGCAGAATAAAGAAGGAAACAAAAAACTGAGTAAGCTGCTGCTTGGTATTGGCAAGGATCAGCTGAGATGCTAATTTCAAAATTTGCTGTACCAAAAAGGAAGCCATTTCTCCGAAATGATGGGGGGGGGGGGGGAGGATACAAAGTTGTGTCCAGCCTTGACCTACAACTGCTTTTCCTTCTCACTACCATACTATGATGCTCACGAATCTGTGCATTCCAAAAAGTACTGTGTCTTTTCCAGTCTGCCAATTGGGTGCTACATTGGCATGAGAACTGCCTTCCATGCATTGCTCAGGTGGTATAGAAGTTACAATAAACAATGTGTTTTTCATATTTTGTCTTGAAAAAAGTTACTTCTATAAGTGTAGTTTTAGAAATGCTAAAAGTGCACTAAACACCCTTTCGCAAATGTTTAATTCCACAAAGGGAAGCCATCAGTTTCAGTACTATACAGTGAAAATTGCAGCTGCGCCCTCTTGACAAGCAGACTTCAGAAACTTCCATGTGAAGAGCAAATGGGTATAGTTTGTAAATTCTGTGATTTCCAGGCTATACTTGGGGAGGCCAACTTGGAGAATGGTTTGGCATCACTTCCAGGACCTATTCCAATAACTGTGGATGTCCTGATATTGCCCATTTCACTTATTGAAGAAGAGAGTAGACTGAGACATACCTCAAAAGGTAGGCCATATTCACAGTCTGAGAAAGCTCTCAGGCTTAAGCAAGTTTTTGGAAGCAATGGGGTAGGGAGTTGAAAGCAAGTGTATATGAAAATAAAAGACAGACATCTTTTAAGAAATCAGAGTATTTCTGTTAGAGCTCCAAGGGACATGGTTACATCGTTTTTCTGTACGTGAAATTTTCTTTTCTGAGTCATTTTTAACTTTCAAGGATGTGATAGTTTACGTGAAATTAGGAGCTCCACTTGGTGCTTGGGAGCATTGGCAGCAGAGGCAGGAAGCCCTTTAGCCCTCCAGGTATTGGAAGATGGGGTAAAGAGTATGGCAGAGTATAGCATCAGAGACGCCGGGAGTCTCATAGTGCTGGATTCAAGTGGGGCAAGGGAGAACAAAATTGTATGTGTTAGATATGTTCACCCAAGCCTTAGAGAGTGACTGGTTCAAGTTTGATGCTTCAGAGATTTGACCTGCTTTTCATGAAACATTTCAAGCATGGACTTTGCAGGGATAATGTGGGATTATAAACTTCTGGGAGGCCTGTAGAGAGGTTAACTGAGATCCTTTCAGTCTTCAAGGACAGGGCAGCTGTCAGCACCAGAACATCATCAGGGGGCAACCCCTGCTTTTGTTGCTGGCTTTTGTATTCAGTGCCCAGGATAGAACAGTGTGGTAGTGCTCGAGCTAGAGAACATGTACCAACCAGCCCTGAGGTGTGCATTATTTTTCCCCTGCTACATCCTCAGAATCATCATTCACTCCATTAGTCACGTGAGGGCAATTTACTGTCTGTGCAGAAGTTTCATTAAGGTTTCCCACAGAGTTTGCATTGATTTTCCTCGACTCTTGGCTTTTATAACTTCCACATTCTTGTTCAGAGTTGATAGGACCATGTCACGATTCTCCTCAAAGCTAAATTTTCTTTTTGTTTGTGCCTATGCTTGTGAATATCTTATTTCACTCATTTGGACATTAATGATAACCTGTGTCTGTATAAAATGAGAAGCCCTTACATAGGAAAACCAACAGAATTTAGGAAAATAAATATTTATTGTATCGAATGGATTTCATTTCTACTAGTTCATGCATGTGTTCCACAAAGACGAATTGAGTGCAGACCGTATGGCAGATGTTCTAGGTGCCAGAGATACGATAGTGAACAAAGTAGCAGTCTGTGCGCTCGTGTAGCTTGTATTTTAATGGACTAGGAATAGAATTCCTGTCCAAGAGGGCTTCTGCATGGATTAACAGGTCCAGGCCTGAGTGCCTGTCAGAGCATCTGAGCAGATTACATACTACAGGGCATAGAAAACAAGCATAGAAAACTCTTCAGCAGGCAGTAGTGAGCTCCATTTCCATCTATTGCAGAGTCTACCTGCTAGTGCTGACGTAGCTCATCACTCTCCAGAAACTCTCCCAAAATGATTGTACTCTCTCCAGTAATCCAGCCGTAAACCCTTTCTCCTCACTGGGAGAGTTAGGTGAGATTATTAGCAGCACTGTTCACTGTGGGGCCTCTTTAAGGAGTTTCTAATCGTTTAGGATTGTGGTTCTTTTCTTTTCCCCTCCTTTTCCACCTTTATTTTAGTTTTTCTCTCTTTCTCCCTTTCTTCTTTCATTATGATTTAATTAAACGTGCGCTGTGGTAGGTAGGACACCAGACACTGAAGCAAGGAGAACTTTGTTTGGGGACTACATAGAGTTATGTACAAAGATGAATTTACAGTAGTTACACCAATAATATAGATAGAGCTAAGTCTCGAAAATTTGTATGCTAAGAGTTAGAAATGTAATTGAATGAACATTGTATTAGCCTAAGCTTGCACTCCTGTGGGGCTCATCATCTGAGTTATGCACATATGTGTGCATGCAGACTAATAGAATGGTCCCTTCCTTCATAATTTGAAGGTGATACTCCTGCTGCTAGCAATTATCATCCAAGAGCAACTGACTATAGCTGAAGAATTTGGATTTTGATGAGTAAACCTTTGTTGCTGTGGTTTCTACATGTACTGTGCTAATGAAGCCCCCATAGCCACAGTTACTTATCCAGAATAATTGGAATTGGCAAGGTGCCAAACTGAACCACTTATTTTTGCACCAGGGATGATTACTCATTTTTGTGATGTTTTACTGCATATGGCCCCAAATAAAAAATTCTAATAAATATCAAGTACTTCAAAAAAAATCACCGAAGATGCTAATCGGATAACAGGGTCCTCCAAACCTCAGCAGGTCACACACATCAGCTTTTGCTGCCACCTGCTCCTGCAGTGTCAGCAACATCATCCTCAGACACGGAGTGTTGCTTTGAAAAATCTGACTTCTCTTTTCTACCCATTGTCAGTTTCTTTCTGTAACCTTCACAGTGCCTTGCTACCATGTATTACTTCCCACGTGTTCTATAATCCCCTCACTTTCCACAGCAGTATGGCCACTGCTGAGTCAAAGGCAGGTGCTCTTCCACAACTGCAAACCCAGTACAACTAGCTTCAATTATGGTCCAGTTTCAGGAGAGACAAATAGGATGCTGAGGTCTTGATATTTTCAGGCAAGCAGTAGCGCAGAGGCAGGAAATCTGCTCAGCTGTATTACCTTAAGCAAAGGGACTTGGGGGACCATGTGTTCTCCATGAACATCGCCAGGTCTATGAAGTGGTAAAATGGGTAGAAGACAACGGTTAGAAAAGCTCACTGAGTCGGGGTGAACATTTTAGCACTGCAGAGAAGCACTCATTGGGAAATTGGGAGTGAGAGCAGGGGAGTTCAGCTTAGGCAGGTGTATTGGAAGGAAAGAATTTTCTTTGCTTTTTTCTTTTTCTGTTTTTTTTTAAATGACTCTGATGCCAACAAAATGTTTGCTGTGAATCCATTCAAAATCAAATAGCAGTCAGCAGCAGGCAGAGGAGAAAGGCAAAGTGCTAAGCCTCGGCTGGTCATGCATGTCTGCATTCTCAGCACTTGGGAGACAGAAGCGGGAGGGTAGTGTGTTTGAGGTCAGCCTGGGGTACGTAGAGAGTATGAGGCCAGTGTCGGCAATGTAGCAAGACTCTGCTAACAAAGCAAAACAGATAATACAAATGCACACAAACCAAGCAAAACCCAGAACAAAAAAATGCTCCTCTACCGCCCAAATGCCAGGATTCAGTCTCCACGAGAAGCTTTTAATCAATGCTGCAATGTTTGGTGTCTAGGGATTCTTCATTCATGAATCATGCTATAGAATTTAGTCTACTGTATCCTCTAATGACTCCAAAGGATGCTCCCCATGACACTGTCCTGAGCGGCTTGATTATACCTTATCCTGTAGAGACTAAAATGGAAGCATAGTTATTATGAGAAGTTTCAGGCATATTCAAATGGGCTCAAATTGTCAGAGGTAAGGAAGTCGTTCCAAGTTGATGGGATACAGAACAACCATCTGATATTCAGCATCCTGTTTCAATTGGTCCTTCTTTGATTCATTTTACAGATGGACAAAGTCTCACAACACTATACAATCTTCTTATACTTCCACTATTATCCCACTTTGATTTCCCCATACATAACTATATAATGTTATAGAAGATAGTATAAAAAGCTTCTATTCTGTAGCTAATGGCCAGGAAATATTTAGATATCTAATGTTCAGTTCTGAACTAATTCTTCTGATGCCCAGCAAAGGTTAAAGATAATCTTTTCATTTAGCAAATCAGGCAGTAGGAAGTACAGAATGTTTGATTCTTCATTGGACTTTATTCTATCGTGCATCTCCCATGGTCTTAGGAGGTGAGTAGGAAGTGGAAAAGAGACAGCATTCAAGCTTTGAAGTAATCTAAAGCCACCCTGGAGGCTTTTTAGTTTTTTGAGACAGGGTTTCTCTGTGTAGTTTTGGTGCCTGTCCTGGATCTCGCTCTGTAGACCAGCCTGGCCTCGAACTCACAGAGATCCGCCTGGCTCTGCCTCCCGAGTACTGGGATTAAAAGCATGTGCCAGCCCACACTGGAGGCTTTTATACAAAGAAACTATACCTTCCCCCCTGTATTCCCCAGAACATGGTTGTAGAATAGGCCTTTCCCCAAAGGTCAAACAAGTTACCATGAACTCAGGAGATAAAGCCGGCCAGGCTTTGACTAGCTATTCAAGGTCAAGTGAGAATAAACTGGATTCTTAACATTTGCTTAAAATATAAAGGAGCAGTAGTCGAAATCAATGCCTGCTTCCTGACCAAACTTTTCTGTGGTTACTGATGTTGTCTCAATCCCAGTGAAGATATCCTTTCTTCCACAAGATGAACTATGACTAGAATAATTAAGTTGTTCTTCTAAAGGTCTTCTTTTCTTTCCAAAGTCTCTTCCTCATGATGCTAGTTCCCTTCAGTCCTGCCTAGTAGCTTACCTTACCACTAACTGTGATCAGAAATGTCAGTAAAACCGACTGTCCTCTTAGGTGATTTAGACATGCCTTTTCACTTCTATTTGATGGCTGACACATTGTTTTGGTGAAGAATGGGGAGAAAGACTAATATTTGAGAGAAGAGGCTTTTTTTTCATGTGGCAAAAGAAGAAAGGTTGGATTTTCCTTCTTCAAAATCTTATGCAAAAATCAAGTAAGGTGTGCCCAGATCTTTGAGACCAAATGCAAGTCCTTCTTTTTGAAGGCCACAAGTGTGACCAGTAGAGTCACTGAAGGCCAAGGCTCAAGGTGAACCAAGGATATAGTGAAGAAGTTGGATGAGATCTCTGAAGTTTTAATTTTTTATGTGTTTCTTGTCAGATTGTTCCCTCCCACCAAAAACTCAAACTAGTTTACTTTATGCTCTATGACATTTCCACCGTTTTCCTTCCCCAAAAGACATGCATGTCCACACCTGTGCTCTATACTGCACTCCATAACCATGACCTCCTCTTGTTACAGCACAAGGTCAGGAAATCTGGCCCTCCCGAGTTTCCAGTTTTTAGGAAAGGGCCACAGAAGATATATTAAGCCACAAGTTAGTCAAATTACGCATATATAATATACATTTTCCACTGTTTACTCAGTAACTTGTTCTCAAAAAAAAAATCAGAGCTAAGAAAGAAGACAGGAGGAGGCAAGAGAGAAAAACAGAATTGGATCAGTTTCCTGTAAATTTCTTGACTTCTTTCCATCTACCCGAATTGTATTTTGTGTGTGTGTGTGTGTGTGTGTCTGTGTGTGTGTGTGTGTGTGTGTGTCTGTGTGTGTGTGTGTGTGTGAGAGAGAGAGAGAGAGAGAGAGAGAAAGCATGTGTGTCTTTGTGTGAATGTGGTAGTTTGAAGTGAGAATGACCCCCATATGTGTATATATTTGAATGCTTGGTCCCAACTTTGAACCTTGAAAACTGGTTTAGGAAGGATTAAGAGGTGTGGCCTTGTTGGAGGAGGTGTGTCCCTGGGGTTGGGCTTTGAGGTTTCAAAAGCCCATGCCATTACCAGTTAGCTTCTCTCTCCGTCTTGAGCTTACAGATCAGATATAAGCACCCAGCTACTGTTCTAGTGTCATGCTTGTCTGCCTGTTGCCATGCTCCCCACCATGATGATCATGGAATCACCCTCTGAAACTGTAAGCAAGCCTCCAATGAAATGCTTTGGAGATGGTGTCTCTTCACAGTAATAGAAAGGTAACTAAGACAGTATACTGTGTGCATTGTATGTGTGTTGTCTTGTTTGTGGACATACATATGTGAATGCATTCATTGGCCAGAGGAGCACATCAGGTATCTTCCTCTATTGCTCTCTGCCTTATTGGTTGCATTATTGTCTTGAGCCAGGGTCTCTCACTGAACTGAACATCTGCTTTTTCAGCTAGGCTAGAGAGATCAAGGATTCCCTGTCTCAGTACTCTGATGCAGGGGTTCAGGCATGTATAGCCATGCCAGAATTTTTATGTGGGAGCTGGACATTGAAAATCAGGTCTTCATGTTTGCATAGGCAAGCGCTCTTATGTACTAAGCTGTCTCCTCAGCCTTCTGAACCGTTTCTTTAAACTGTGTTCTTTGGGACAGCCTTCCTTTGTAGCTCTGGCATCCATTATTTCAATACAATGATGACGATAATGTCTTGGCAATGTTTTTATCTAGAAACACCCCCAACATGGTTTTGTAATTAAGTGCCATGCTCCATCCATAGTGGACAGAGAGGCTTTTCTTTAGGAACAAGAGGTAAGTAACCTGTAGTGAGGTCCTTCCTTCTCCAAGAGACAAGTACATATATGTTATGGGCAACTTTAGAGTTCCATGCTTTAAAGAAGCCCAACTTTACTGGGCATGGTGGTACAGGCCTGTAATCCTAGCATTTTGGGGGTGGAATCAGGTGGATCAGGAGTTCTAAGCTAGCTCAGCTACATAACAAGTTTGAGGCCAGCTTAGACTGTATGAAACCTAATCTCTAAATGCACAAAGCAAGACAAAGGCCATCCTAATGGTTGGTAGACGGCCCAGTACCAGCAGATCCATTCCATCTCTGGGAGAATGCAGCGTGTAGAAAGGAGTCTGCCCCTACAAAGTTGACCTCTGTGTGCTAGATACTGTATATGGCACTTCCATAGCCATCATTTTGTTTGACTCATAAAAATCCTTATTCCTAGAAACAAGCTCGGAAATGACAGCTGAATACCCAGGACTTATAAAGAGGACTTTTGGCCCCTAACGACTCCTCAAGTATATGTGGAGGTCTAAGACCACCAGAGCCTGGCTTATGGGAACACCAACTGTAAGTGTGTTTGCTGAATAAAGACTGAGTGTTTGCAGGAACTGTCTGAGGAAAGAAGAGGCCCACAGCTAGGGTTCTTCCACTCCTCTTCCACTCCCTTTCCACTCGACTTCTGTGGACTTCAGCAAAAGACATGTTGTTCTGTGTTGTTGTCGGTGGTGGTGTTTGTGTGGGGGGTGTTATTCTATCTATTTTTGTACAATAGCTTTTTGTTGACCAATTCATACTTCAAATAATACCAATTAATGTATTTTCTTTGACCCCCTTGTTCTCATTAAGTAAGTCAGAACAGTATGTTCCTTAATTCTCTTCAGGAAGTAGACAAAGTGGACAGGCTTTAGGTAGCCTACTTGGGTTCAGGTCTTTCTTCTGCTCCTTATTATATGACCTTTTACAAGAAGTTTAACTCTCCTGTTTCTGGATCCCCAGTTTTTGTCTTGTTTGTTTTGCTTTATTTTTAGACAGGATCTTGCTATGTAGTCCATGCTGCCCTAGAACTCTGTATCCCAGACTGCCTTGGGCTCATGATCCTCCTGCCTTGGCCTCCCAAATGCTGGGACTGCATGCATGCTTCACCACACCCCATTCTCTACCGCTGTTTGTTAACCGAGAAGATAAAATCCATCAGGGATGTTGTGAATATTAAGTGGACTAAGAGACATTAAGCACTGGCACACGGTCAGATACACAGCACTTGATAAATGATGATTATGACTCTCAACCCTGGGGCCCTTCTTTCCTTTCATTGGCTCTGTGCTCTGAAATGGTTTTGCTATACTGTGTTCCTAGCTAAGTGGTGGGAAGATGCCAGAACCGAGAATGTGGGCCTTAGAAGGAATACCATTTAGAGCTCAGTTAGAGCAACAGCCAGTACTTACTAGGACATTGGTACTGTGGCTGATAAAACATCCTGGATGAGGGTGTGGATCTGGCAGAAGAGAAATAGAAATATTGCTAAGGGTACAGAGGACTGGAAATTGGGAGGCCAGAGGAAAAAACAAAGGAGACATAGTAGGGAAGGGAAAAATGGGAAGACGGGAAGAAAAAGATTGCAAAAGATAGTGAAGGGGTAGAACTAAAGAGACTCTAAATCGATCCTGGAACATTAAGCACAAATGAAGGAAAATAAAATTAACATCTTTATTGAAGAGGAAAACAGGAAATAGGAAATATCCTTGTTTAGGGAAATCTCATATAGAAAGGAGCAGTTGCTAAGGGCCTTTGGAGGTTGGTTACCATGGTGATGCTATATGTCTTCTTTTCTATTACCTTGTGATTCTGTCAGCAGATGGCTTCTTTCTGCTTTAGTTTCTAACACCAGGGCTTAGCCCTTCTTGAAGCATTGGTGTTTCCATCTACAGTACTTTTGTTACACTGTGAGACCTACTGGCTGTTGTCTAGCTCCTTTTTGATATGTTGCACATGTAGGAAGACAATGGAGAAATTACATACTAGGAAGCTGGAGGCAGAAGCCTGTGTACCTCTTTTCAGATGCATGGAAAGGCATGTTTAGCAGGCCAGGACACCTCATGTCTGGGGAGATTGAGAAAATTTTGTAACACCTCCCTTTTTTTAAAAAAAAAGAACAACTTTTTATTGTTTTTTTTTGTATGCATCCCAATCCCATTCATCTTCCTGTCCTTTCATATCTGCCCTCTACCTTTGCAACCTCCCCCTGAAGTGAAACAAAATAAAATTTAAAAGAAAAACAAACAGGCTCGTCATGGAAGCTGTAGTGTGGCTCAGTGAGTCACACAGTAAGCCCTTTAGTCCATACATCTTTACTTTTAAGTGTTCATTGCAATGAGTCATTGGTCTGGTTCGAGGCCTCTGGCTTCTGCTACACTATCAATACTGGGCCCTCACTGGGACTCCTCTTGGATATCTTATTGTTGTCCTGTGTCATGGAGATCCTGTAGCTTTGGATCTGCAGGTCCAGCCCCTTCACATGCTCCTGCAGTTCATAGATGAGGTGGATGTTGTGGTAGGCTAACTTAAAGCCTTGGTTCTCGGCCTGGGTAGTAGCTGGATTGGTCAGCTGAAGAGCCTTGGTTCTCGGCCTGGGTAGTAGCTGGATTGGTCAACCCTTCAGCTTTCTCTCATTATCACCACCAGGATGAGTTCTCCAGCACTGCCCTGGCTAGCTCACCCAATGCAGCCTACAGCAAGGAGTGGGGCAAGTTCTCCTGCTCTCATGCCTTCGGGGTTGACTTACCCATATGCACACCACCAGGGCCAGCTCTACTGTTTTGCCCAGATGAGGTGCAGGGCCTGCTCTCCGAGTGCTGCAGTTGGTGAGGGGCGGGAATAGCTCTCATGCCCCTGAGGCCAGTTCTCATGCCTCAGGTGGCAAGGGGTTAGTGGGGGAGGGCATTTTTCCCTCACCCATGTCACCACATGGCAGATAGGGGGGTAGTGAGGGGGAGGTAGGGTCAGCTCTTCTGTTTTCACATCCTCATCACCGGCTCACCTTTGCCCCTGCCAACAGGGTCAGCTCTAGTGTATTGCCTAGGAGAGATGCAGAGTCTACTCTCTCGTGTGCTGCAGCTGTGAGGAGCAGTAAGTAACATTTCTCTTTTAAAGATAAAGTGAGCACTTCCCTAGAAAACTTGGGTCAATAAACATCTTGGGCTGTTCAAGACTAAGGGATTACCATGGAAACAGAAGTTTTGATGTTATTATAAAACTGAGCAGATACTAGGCAACCTGAGGTTGTTGGACTCCCCTCCCCCAATATGGCAAAAAAACTAAGTTTCAAGTGGACACCTGAAGATTAAAGAAGGCTCATGAGACAAACTCACCATTTGCCTGTGGTACCCAAACACAGGTACTGATTTACTAGTTTAGTTTTTGCCATCAACTCATCATCCTCATCTTTTTGTTTGTTTGTTTTTTCAAGACAGGGTTTCTCTATGTAGTTTTGGAGCCTATCTTGGATCTCACTCTGTAGACCAGGCTGGCCTCAAACTCACAGAGATCCACCTGGCTCTGCCTCCTGAGTGCTGGGATTAAAGGCGTGCGCCGCCGCCGCCGCCGCCGCCGCCGCCGCCGCCGCCACCACCACCACCCCCCCCCAGCGGTCATCCTCATCTTATTCATTATATGTAATGTGATGCTCTGAGATCAAATATTGAAACCAACTGAGATGTGGAAAAATGAAAACTTTAAGACCCCATTGTGATCTGCTTAATCAAAGTCACTGTCAAGGTGCAGCCCAGGCATCTGTATTTTCTCGTCTTCATGGTCATTTCCACAAAATCTGACACAAGTTCAAATGGGGGGCATGCTTTTTAGACAGCTGAAACCCAGAGGGCACCCAGGCTGCGGAGAACTTGATTCCTCCAATAGAACAGGTTTGCAAATACCTTGGCCCCAGGGTGGAAACCTGCTGCACTCTGCATCTGCACTCACCTTCCCTCCACACTTGCCTGAATGTTGCTTGGTTTTTCGTGGGAATGAGACTTAAACAGCATCTCCTCAGAGCTCTTTCCTGGCCTCTTACCTTGTCTTACACCCTGTCTCTTTGTTTCAGTGCACTTGTTGGAATTTGCAATCCCACCTTCCTGTATACGTAAGTGTTCATCCTTACCATCCTTGGACTCACTCAATCCTATGCACTATGCATCTAGCATGGGAAACGTGACAGCTAAGTATTGCTGAATCAGTACACGAATGCCTAAGTTGATGAAGAGGCACTGTGGCCCATCTTAGCCTATGGAATAATGCAGAAAGGCAATGTTTCCATGGGGCCAGGCCTAGATGTTCTCTTTGCAAGGCCTCTAGCAAAACTACCTTGCCCAGATGGGAAGATGGCTACAAGCCATCTGTGTCCTAACATGGGGGAAGGGGACAGGAGAAACAATGAGACTCTCAAGTCTGTTCTCTTTCTCCTACCATGACACTAATCCCATTGTGAGGACCCCATACTTACCATCATCGAACCTCATTATCTCCCAAAGTCTTCGGTTTTAAATAATCATCATGCTGAGTGGGAGTAGGGGCTTCAGAATATGAATTTTATGAACATTCAATCCATAAAGCCATTAATAGGTCTGGGGAGAGAGCTCAGTGGCTTAGACGGCTTGCTTCACAAGCAGGAGATCCTAACTTCGGGTGTGCAGTACCTACATAAAAAGTGTGGCACGTCTGCATATTTCTGTAAAAAAGTACAGGTAGGATGCAGCCGGTGCTGGGCCGGCCCCTTCTCCATAGCTTCCAGTGTTTAAGGACTCGTACATTGTACCCCAGAAGCATAGCAAACAGCAAAACCAGTATCTTGGGAAAGAGAAAAGGGAAGACCCTCAGCTGCTGCTGGCCAGGTAAATACCTGAGGGCGGGGGAAGGGAATCAGCTGCTTCTTGCTGCATCTCTTGGCCTACCTGCTCAGCGTTCTTGGCCCCTGAAACAGCCCTCAGCATTTATTGCCTGCAGTCTGGTGAGAGATGGGAGCACTGGTCCCCATGCAGTATTTCCAAGACTGAATATATTCCGAACGGCTGGCTACCTTAGGCAACTTGCAAGAGAGTGTCCTGTTTCTTCTGCAGAGACAGCTGAGAGCACCTGGAAGGGGAAGCTCTGAGGATCAAGGGCTGTGGCCTCTGATGAGTACCCGGCATTTCTGAGGATTCACCAGGGCCCAGCACTGGCTGCGTTAGACATGTCTTCAGGAATCTTTGCGATAGGTGCTACTGTGTCCTTCTTACAGAAGAGGAGACTGAGGCTTTGGCAAAGTAAATGGCTTGTCACCTTCCCACACTCAGAGGACCCAGAACTGGACTGTGATCCTCATGTCGTAGCCTCATGTCATATCCTCATGTCGTATCCATAGCACTCACGATCAGAAGCCCTTTCCAAGTCTGTGCTGTCTGCTATGGAAGGAGAGGACTTGGGCGAAGGGAGGCCAGCCATGGTCCTGGATTCAGACAGCCAGTTAATGCTAGAGCTGGAGTCAGCCATTAAGTCCCCTTCCCCTCTACCGCTCCTCTCCATCTCATGACCCCAGTGTCTCTAACTACACTAGTGATAGCTTGTCCTGTGTCTCCAGCCACATAGAATTGGCACCCAATTTAGACAGGGCACTGAGGTCTCTTAAGTCCTAGTGCTAGATCAACTGTGAGTGCTCAGGACTCAGAAGACTCTGGGCCTGAGAGTCCATGGTGAGAGCACGCCTTCTAGGTTGGACCAAAGTAGAAGGATATCAGCCCTCACCACCACCATGGTAACCCCACAGTCCCTCTGTGGCTGCCATCTTCCAGGGGTTCCTTGCAGCCTTCCTTTCGTGCTGAGGTTACAGCTGCCAGCCCTGCTGCCATCTGCCTTCCTCTTAGGCTTCCCCTCTGGCTAACTGCAGGGGCTGGATGGAGTTGGTCACCCCTACCCCGGGCTTTTAATGAGAGGTATTTGGTTATGCCCAGGGAGCAAAAATGAATAATTCAGCAAAGGAAGCCCAGGAATGGTAGTGTTTCAGAGCAGATTCCCTTGACAGGGGGAGAAGCAGAGAACCACTGCATCTTCTGGGGGTGGGGTGACAGCAGCAGCAGGAGGAGGGAGCAGGAGGAGGGAGCAGGAGGAGGGAGCAGGAGGAGGGAGCAGGAGGAGGGCTACACAGGAATCACTAGCAGAAATCGAAGAGATCCTTGTCAAAATCTCTTTGCCATTTTGGAGGTAAGCCGATTTAGGCTGCGGTAAAATCTCCACTAATCCGTGCCTTTTGCTTTGTAAAGGAGTGGTCTCTTAATGACCATTGTCTATCTCCAAAGAGCAGTGCTGTCATCCCTGGGTGGGAATTAACCTCTTTTCTTAATTCATTGGACTTTCAAAATGATTAAGATGGCTCAAGGGGGGAAGAACACAGAAGGGAAGGACAGGCATGCATTCAGGTTTTTGAAAGCAGCATTTTAATTTGTTCTCTGAGAAGTTCATGCGATGTATTTGAACTCCCCCCCGGTAGCACCGTCTCCCATGCCTTCCCACCCGACTTTGATTTCTTTGTTTTTGCCTTCTTTCACTATTGAGTCTAGTCTGTGTTGCCTAGCTGTTCTTGGTGTGTGCCAGCCTACCAAGGGTACATCATTAAAGAAAACAGACTTTCCCTCTCCCAGCAGCTATCCAAGGCCAGTAGCCCCTAAACTAATGGTGGGATTGCATGCCTCCCTGCCCCTTGTGTGCTGGAATTTTTTTTTCTGGCTGTGGGTCATATCCATGCTGTCACAATCTCTGTGAATTCATATGTTCAACTGCTCTTGACGTTAATGCCCCTTACAAACTTTACACTCCCTCTTCCATGGAGATTCATATTACAGCCCTTCCCCCAAGGTTCCATTTCTTGTTTAAGTGCCAGGATAGAAAAACAAATGGCCCAGAAGCACCTTGCTGCTTGGATTGTCTCTGAGTATAAGCCCCTCCCCTGTCGGGCAGCAGCTATTGAGGTCATTCTTAGACAGCACCTTGGAGGCTAAGACAGCAACTGATTCTTCCACAAGGTGACGTGATTGTAATTCTGTAGGGCATGGAGAGCTAGTTGCTTGCTATGTGACAGTTTAGGGCACAGAGTGGAGGTCTTAGCTGTTTGGATCAAAAGTGGCAGTCTCTTAGTTGGGATTCACCATGGCAAAAGCAGGGTTTCCAGGGCTTTTGGTGCCAACAGTCCAGTGGCTTTTGGATGTTCTAGAATCAGAAAAGAATGGGTTTGACCCCAGCTCTACTACTCCTTAACCATGTGACCTTAGGAAATTGGTGTCATCTTCCTCAGTGTCAATGTTGCTATCTGTAAAACAAGGAACAGCAGAACATCCTTGGACTGTTTGATAAAAAGAAAGGGTGTGTGTGTGTGTGTGTGTGTGTGTATGTATGTGTATGCACGTGCACACGTGTGTGTGTTTAAAACTGAGATCTGGCCCTTGTGTTTGGGATATTTATAAGAAAAAGGGTGCAAAACCTCCAAGTTCTCACCTGAGAGCCTTAGGCCAGACTGGTTTGAGAGAGTTCAGAGTGGCTAAGTAACTGTGCCAAGCTAACAAACATGTCAAGGTGCCAATTTAATGACTTTATTATTAGTGGAGCTTCCCCATCACCAGAGATGCAGAGATGCAGGAGAGGGAAACCTTAGAGTCTAAGGGACCTGAGTTTGGTGCCAGGCTCTGCCATTTATTAGTCGTGTGAATTAGGAAAAAAAATATCCTTGAGTCCCATTGTCATCCACGGAATGGAAATAATAATACTTTCTACCTCTCATTATTTTTCTGAGTGTTAAATTAGAGTGTACATATGCCCTGATACATGGTGATTGCTCAATAAATGTAAGATTCAGTGTGTAGATGTTATTTCTATTTAAAGTGATCAGTAAATTGCTTTATATACATAATAGGCTTAATTTTAAAAATCTTCACTGAATATTTAATGTGCACCTAGAAGTACTGGATACAGTAGTGAAGAAAATGATTTGCCTTCACAGAGTCTAATGACCCTCAACAAGTGTTTGATGGATGAAAGTGGGATTCTACACATGCTCAGAAAATAATATATGTAAGATATTGAGGTCTAGAGGTTGTGGCTGAAGAGATAATTTCCTCAGACTGTGAGATTCAGCCGTTCACTCAGGATATGAGAAGGGTGTGTAGATTATATCAGGCATGGGGTACAGCACAGGAGAAGGAAGATGCATTTTTCAGGAGGAAGCTGTGTCCATTTACAAATGAAGACATCAACTCCATTAAGAAAACAAAATGAGCCTGGTGGTGGTGGCGCACGCCTTTAATCCCAGCACTCGGGAGGCAGAGCCAGGCGGATCTTTGTGAGTTCGAGGCCAGCCTGGTCTACAGAGCGAGATCCAGGAAAGGCGCAAAGCTACACAGAGAAACCCTGTCTCGAAAAACCAAAAAAAAAAAAAAAAAAAAAAAAAAAGAAAACAAAGTGAGCAAGTAGCCTTTTACTAGCTGTGCACATGGACAAAAACCCCATCCCCCTAGCCCTGAGTTTTCCCTCCACAACTTCCAGCCTTCTCTGTTAAATCATTGAGTTTGGGAATGTTAGCATTCAACCATACCTCTTCAGTAGAGGACTAATGGCGGCTACCCAACCATTAGCCTCATGTCTGATTTGTCACTCAAAGCCTAGGTCATAGTGTGGGTCACTAATTCTGCCTCTTACCCCATGTCTAGCCTCAATCTCTTGGGGCAAGTGGCGAGCTAAGCAGTAGCCAGTGAGAATAATACAGCCTGTGACATCTCCTTAAAGCAGTGGTTCTCAACCTGTGGCTCATGACCACCATGGAGGTCACATACTAGATATCCTGCATATCAAATATTTACATCACAATTCATAAGAGCAGCCAAATTAATTACAGTTATGAAGTAGCAAGGAAATAATTTTATGGTTGGGGTCAATACAACATGAGGAACTGAATTGAATGGTTGCAGCATTAGGAAGGTTGAGACCACGCACTGCCTTAAAGACTGCCCACCATGGCACATGCCTGTGCATCCATGAGGCCCAGTGCCCTGGAATGGTCAGACAGAAGCGAATAAGGGTCGTGGTAATGGTGCCTCTGGGAAAGTTGGTAAGGCAGAGTTGGAGCTCAGAGACTTTTTAAGTTGCCATGACTGTTTCCTAAGGGATGTGCTGCTGCTTCATTTCTTATTTTCTTTTACTCTATTTCCTTTCCTTGCTCTTGGCCAAAGAAAGAACAAATGGCTGTGTGCTGACCGGTCACCCCACACATTTTTCTGAAGCAGAGGAATCTGGTTTGGAGGCTTAGGGAAAGAAATGGTCAGGGTTGGTCTTCACCAAGAATACTGAATTTGTTTTATTTTATTTTATGTAAGTAAAGTTTATTTCTAGACATAATTCATGCTCCATATGTTCATTTGCTCATGCTGTAATCCACTCTAAAAAAATTGTATGCGGACACACAGTAATAAGAACACATGACAACTCAGTGAGTAGCTGAGGCATCCTCATGGAGTTGAGTGATGTTGGAGGGATTAGGAGAAGTAGATCAATAGCTCAATGAGATTGTGCCAAGAATACTGAATTTTAATGCAAGTTGGCATTGGAGACCCTCACCATCTTCCCAAGAGAACCCCTTAGGGGTGCTGCCTAACCTCACTTTTCCCTTTTTTCTCGCTTTCATCTATCCCCAGAACCGGCTGAGTTGACCAAGTGTTGAAATCGTCCCAGGCAAGGCAAAGCAGCCAGCCTCTGCTCTTCACTCTCAGCTGGATTGAAGTAAACCTGGAGGCTTACTGGTTGCCATGGCGAAGAGTAGGCCCTGAGAGTATTAAGAAGCTGGGAGCTGGAGCTTTTTTGTCTGTTGGTTTTGATGAGTTCTGTTTGCTTTATCCCCCCACATCTCCTTCTCTTCTGCTCCCCTCCTGCCTACCCCTCCAGAGTCTCAAATCACTAAAGCAGAAGGCGATTACTAGGAGCAAAAGCAGGTCCTGATGCAGGCTCTACTAAATACAGGCTGCCCTGCTGAGGATAATTGGGGTGTATTTGGCAATGCAGCCTCCTGGGAGGGCCAAGTTTGGAATATAAGTTGTTATACCTTTGTGGCATGGTGCAGCATCCTGAGACAGGGAAGGATGCCTGTGGAAAAAGGAAGACAACTCAGTCCTGGAACTATTGGCTTGTGTCTTCATACCCCGAGGGATTTGGAATTTTGTTTTCTTTTGACAGGTCCAGGCATCTAGTCCACACAATTTTCCTCAATTAGCTGTCTTCTCTCCCACTGCTGACCTGGGTAGAACATATTTGTAGAGAAAGTGTGGGTTCTGGAAGGACCATGCGCATATTATGTAATAATTATTGTTATCGCTATTATTATTATTTTATAAATAAGTCCCTTCAGTTCCATCCATGTTTCTGAAAAAGGGAGACAGCTGACTCAGGAAGATTTTTGTGGACTGGACTGCAGTGAAAACTGACCTCGCTTCCTTCTTAATTGGTACCCTGGGGCTGAAGTAGGAGCAGTATGAAGGGAAGGAAACCCTGAGCACACCAGCAAAGGCAGCTCGTGGCAGATGTAGGAGTTTCAGTGTCTGCTCTTCTCTTGCACTCTGTGCTAATTGCATAATGCTACCTGGACTGGATGAGTGCAGCAGAGTAAAAATTTCAGGCATTCTCCTCATGCCCTTAGTCCAGTCCTTTTATCCATCCCAGCCTAGGAATAATGGGCATTCCTTTTCCTCTCTCCAAATGTGTATTCTCATCTTCCAAGTTCTTTTTTTATCCTCACATATTTGTGAATTTATGACTATATACTCTCGAATCCTTTTCTCGTATCCGTATTTATTATCCCTAATGGCCTGTTTCTTAGAGGCAGGTTCTGTACCATAAAATCCACCAGAATCACTCTTGAGAGATCTACATGCCATGCCATAGGAGCTCAGGGAATGCATGTTAACTTTGTGCTTATGATCTAAGAGTCACAGGGAAGGTCTCTGCTACACAGAATGTGTGATATTGGGAAAATTCATTGGTTACATACATAAAATAAGGTTAAATGCTTGTTACTTGCTAGATGTAAAATAATCTCTAGAAATATTGAAGACTTTAACATGAAAGGCAAAATTGTACAATTATTGTTAGAAAATGTAGGGGGATTTCTTTACTATGTTAAGGTTCATAGGTTTTCTTAAAGCGTGGAAAGCACAACCCATAAAGGA